GCTTTTGAATGGGCTGGAACTCACTCCCATTACTATCCGGAACGCTTCATCTGTAGAGCAGTTTAAGGGACTCTTAAAATTAAAACACATCTGTTCAATCGTACCTTCTAATTTGTATTTGATTCTGCTGTAATACATGTATTTATAAATATGCTCTTATATTGGATATTCACATTTAGGTTTTTGGTTGCATTCTCCCCTAGCGCTTTGTATCCTTTGGAAAAGGCGCTTTATAAATACGGTTATTATTATTATTTTTTAAATTGTAAGTATTCTGAGGTCTTGGCTTGTTCGTCTAGTCAAGCAGGGCTTTTTGTTTGTCCGTCTGTCTGTCTGTCTGTCTGTTGGAGACCAAGTTATCATGTAATTACAGTACATGCACATATACCGGTATGTCTTCAGAGAAAAATTACGAGTAGGGAAAACATACACATTCGGTACAGTATGTTATGTATGTACATACATTGCATTGTACCATAAAAGCCTCAAATTACAATGTACATGTACTACAACATGGCGTAGCCACACTACTACCCTGAAGTTCTGCATGGCTAGGGCTCATAAATAACATGTACCTGGTATATGTAATGCAAGGCATATTATTATTACTTTGCCAAAAGACCAGACCCATGCAGACATCTGGTGCAAATTTGCATGGAAATATTGCTGATGCATGCTACGCCACAACAAGCAGGCACTGTTGGCTTTTGGACCATTTCTGGGCAAATCATTTTGACCTTTTAAAACTGGACTGAGTGCATGTGTAACATTGCTACAGTCTCGTGTTTTGGCTGTACACTATCGATAACTAATTAATTATGATCATACTGCTATCATACATGTATACAACAGACTGGTAGTGTGTACATGTATTGAATCACATAGATTTGTTCTGGTATGTATGTAAATGTATCTCAATTCTGGGCCCATTTTAAAGCTGTACACAGTACATGAATCTGAACATTCTGGTGAATTTTAAATTTATATTAAACCCCAAATTGTAGTGATTTTCCTTGTTTGTGCTAATAAACACAAATTTGTGCACATGTAGTGATCATGTACATGTATACATGTATGAATTCTGTAAATTTTAGCAGTACAATGAAATTTGGCCAAACCATTCAGAAACAGCACGATGGGATGAAATGCGAATGGCAAATTTTGACAATTCACTATCATAATGTGTGCACGGTGGTGCTTACATTATACATGTACAGTGTGCACATGTATTATGCATGTATCGGTACAGCAGAATCACAACAATGGCATGTGCACGCACACAATCATGACAATGTACTTGTACCAGTTTGTACCTTGAGGATGCATTATAATGTTATAATGCTCAAACATCAGAAATACAATGTACAATTCTCCAACGCACATACATAAAGTACATTGTACACCTTTCCTTCTGGGAGCAATCCAATGCAACCTTAGTTTAAAAAAATGTCAATACAGCGGGGAAAAAAAGAAAAAAAAACTTGTTTAGCGTTCTCGCCCGCTTCCTTTTTGGAGACCACCTCCTTTTTTTTCTTCTTTTTTTTTTAACCCGAAAAAATGATGAAGTTTCAACAGTGACATCATTGTGGCCTCTTTATCTGTTGCATCCTTATATAGCCCATATAAAGCTGTTATGTCATTTACGGAGTCCAATGGCGGCCATTTTTAAAAAAAACCTGGCTGCCATCTTAAAATATAGCCGTCTTGAAAAATAGCCTGGTCGGGCGGCCATTTTGGAGAAAAAAAAAAAAAGGGGCCTCCCGCTTCCTTTTTTTCCAAAAAGGCAGGACGCTAAACATGTTTCTTTTCTTTTCTGTTTCGCCTTATAAACAAGTAAAACAGAAATGGCTTCGGAATCCCTCTATAAACACCATACAGTTAGTTGACTCTTTGCAAATATTCCATCAAATATGCATGCATACACTGCGACTTCATCGGCTAGATACTCAGTAAACAAATTTGAACAAATTAAAAATGCATTAATTTCAAGTATGCTAGACAATAGATTAAGAAACATCTGTGGCGCGTGTCAATTATCTTTTCTATGTGAATGATCAAACATGCACTACTTCTTAAATACTCTTACTGCTCCGCTTAATAAATTATGCACATTACATGTGTTACTTGATGATGCATCTAGCGTAAAGTAAGCTACATGCACACGATGTATATTCCCCGCGCAAGGCACGTACATGTAGTATTACAGGCCGAGAAAAAAATCCATTCGAGCTAGACTTCCAATAATTGTCACTCGGGCCCCCACTAATGATCTCCGGCCAATTTGGTATCCATGGCAACCGGATGGATCTCTCCGCATCTATTATTGACTAATCTTTTCATAGCAGGCCGTGTTGTTGCCGAGGACGATGTGTAAATCAGGCACGGCAATTAGGAATTTCATAATGCATGAATTCATATGCGTTTTTATAATGCCATTTTCCACCATGATTCAGGGATAAATTGATAGCGAGCAATTTTTTTTTCCCACATTTCCTTGAGTGAAAAAATTTGTCTTATGAATTTAATCAACCAAAATGCCCTTATTGCTGCTGGTTTTGGCCAGTTTATGCTTGAGCATACAAATTTGCTACAAAAACAGTATTTTTTTTAATGAAGTGAGCATTAAAATGATTAAGATATTGAAGCTACGGAAAGATTCCCATATCTGGCCATCACTTGACACCCTGTGCACAAACCCTATGAGACTGGTCTTAAAATTTTAAGTGTTTTCTCAGTATTACTTCAATATTTTCCCTTCTAAAGTTGACTTTTTTGTTAGGACATATTATCACTTTCTGACTGCTGATCTATCACTGACGGGAGAAATTAGTGACGACCAGATGTGGGAATCTTTCCCAAGCTACAAGCAATAGTTAAAGTTTGACAAGAATGAACTTGTACTGTATCTGAAAAATGATTGAATTACAACATGTACATCTGTCCTTGAAAATGGTTAACCTCTAAAAAGTATCCAACTGTTGCACTGGTCCGTTATATAAATGATTACGTTTTACAGCTTGAAGGAACTGGTGATTTTATTTTTTTTTTTCATTTTTTAAATTCCTTTATTTGTTTGGAAAAAAATGTTGCAACCCGACGCCACTTTTTTCTATATCATCTCAATGAAGGTCAGTCGTTGCAAAAATGATGATGGACTGAAAAACATTCCCAATTTTGTTTGGAAATACTTTTTCTTGACTCTCCATAGACTTTGTATACAACCGCTGAAGTGGCGTCAGGTTGCAACATTTTTTTCCTTTGTTTGTTTTTCTTATTAATCAATAAGACTAAAAAGTGCATGACATTGACAGCTAGTGCTAGAAGTAGTACATATGTATTACTATAAGAAAATACCGACAAATTAGAAATTGAAACTTTGTTGCCAGAAGTGCATTAAAATTTATAGACAAATTATGCTTTTTGAAACACAACAGAAGTTCATAATAAATCATATGAACTTTGGCATTTTAGAGCAAACTATTTGGGAAACAAGGGAAAGATATCTGCTCTAGGCTCACAGTTATACAACTGAAAAATATACATTAAAGGCCTACCTAGTCAGTTGTAGGGTACCGGTATTTGCAATATTGTAATTTATGTATTTAAATTCATAATTTAGTCATATCAATCATAAAAAAGCAAGAAAATTGTGGACTAACAATTTCAACTCACAACAATTTCCGTTAATCCTTTTTTTAGGCAGACTTTATTATTAAATGAAGGAAAGAGTGCCGCAGATTGTTTCAACATTTCTTTACCTTGTTCCTGCCTTGCTTGCTTGCTTGCTGTCCGCGCTTTCACCGCCCGCGGCCGGGCCGTTGGTGGTCTGGTTGCCCGTAGTGGCCGGCGGGGATTTCGGTGCCTCCGTGGTCCCAGCCACCGGACACTCCGGAGTTTGTCCCGCGGATTCTTGGTCGTCAGTGGACGCCAGCAACTGCCCTCCGATAGTGGTCATGGCTCTCGAGTCTGAACAAAAACAACTAAGAAGGTGTGTTTTTTTTACAAGCTGCAGCTCACAAGTCGCACGGTGTTTTTGTATAGAAATCAGTGCAGTTTTTTTAACGAGATTGACAGTGCATACAAAACATGCAGCAAGTTGCTACACACTGGATGCACTGGAGGCGCAACAGCAACACACAGAAACAGCAACAAATCTCGACCACAAATTACGACCGGTTAACCGGAAAACGCCTCTCTCGACCTCGTCAGAAGAAAGCAAACGGGATGGAGAGTGAAAAACCACGGCCGGAATATCTGCTTCCGCTCCGTGAATTCCGAGTTAAAACGACGAGAAATGGCGCCGGGATCTCGCCAGATTTTTTTTTTCGGCCCGTCCCATCCGATCCCTACGAAATGAAACAAGGTGAAGTATAGTCTGGTTCCATTTTTGTGTGCGGCTGACAATGATACAAGATGGCATCGATGGTGGCGGGAATCAGATACTAAAATCATAAGAGTGATGTCCCCCCCCCCCCCCCCCCCCCCCCAGTTTTATTAAGTTCCTCTGAAATCAAACGAAACAGTCCAAATATCTTGAAATTGATGACGTGAAAGATATGTATCGCAATTCACAGTGTGTTGGTTGGCCAGTTCATTCAATGAATTTTTGTGTGGGTTTTCCCTTCGTGAATGCAAAGTTTATCAAGGGGAAAAAAATCCCAAACTCCGCAACCATGGAAATAATTTTATTAAGTACAAAGCTAGTCTTATTTCCCAGATTCCTTAATATTTTGCTTTACGCAAGAGGAAACATATTTTTAAGATTTAATTAGTATTATGAAAAGATGACCCATGGCTCTTACCCTGAAACGATTTACACCTTAAACGTTTTATAATTAATTGTAGTTGCAGGGGCGGTTCCAACCATGGAGGAGGGAACAAGTTACTTCTAAAACACGCCCCTCGCCCCTCTCAAACACACACAGATACGCCCCTCCTAGGCCTAGGGCACGCCCACCTTATTGCGAGATCCGTCAAAAAAAATATTGGTGGCGCTATTCAAAATTAACGGAGTCGTAAAAATTAATCCAAGATGGCGCGACCCATGGAAGACATGTGTTCCGTGATGCTGGAAATTTTTAAACAAGAAAGCAGCCCATTATCGCCAGATTCTTCCATCAGTTTGCTCACGTCATTTATTGAAGATACGAAGGAGCTACAGATCTTCGGTCAAGAAGTAAGCATCCAGTGTATTTAATCCAATTCAACCTTCATTTTTTAAGGTGAATGTGGCGTTTGACTGTTATCATTCATGGTTATGCATGCGCATGGTCATGATGGTGGTGGTCATGGTGGTGGTACTTTTGCAGCTCTACTCCGTGAGTACTCGCTAGACAAGATAAGCCAATGTAAAAAAAAAATGCTGGACCATGCTGGATGCCCGCGCCCACCTACATGTTTAAAAAGTATAAGTTACTATATTATTAAAGATGATGTATGGCCCCTACGCCCTAGACATAGATGTTGTCACAAAATATCTATTAAAATAAGATACTGAAAACTTAATTATTTTTAGCCATGGCTCATGACTTCATATCCTATATTGTTGGCGGCGCCCCCCACCCCCAAAAAAATGCTTTATTCCATTTGTTTGACGTAAGCTTTTATAAAATAATTGACAAGTGAAGTAGTACAAATGTAAGACATGGTTTTGAATTTTGCTTCATCATCAGAGGAATTGTGCAAGTTGGATTGGGTACATAAATGGCTGTCTGAACTCTTCAAAAACAAGGTAATTTTGTGAATTTCATCAAAATTTTTTTTAATATACACATGTAATAAATGTAAAGTTGTAACTGGAGACAAATTATATTAAATAACATTTGATCCGTACTGACACCAAAAAAAGCAGATTTTCTTACAGTCGGCCAAAAAAAATGTGAATATGAGTTTTCTAAGTTTCTGTAAAATTTAACGCTTATAGGTTGGAGGGTTTGAGCTGCTTGGGGGCACTTGTCAGCCAGTGTCCAGCTGAAATCTTCCAGCAGCATTGCGTGTCCTGGGTCAGGCTGTTGACACAAACTCTGCAGGTAATTGTTGAAATAAAATTGTATTCTTTTTCAGACATTACATCATTTTGCTATCAATGTCCTATGCAAGTTGGGTTTCCATTTTCATTGCTTTATTTTGGAAGTTAAGAAAATACTCAAAGGAAATTGGAATGACTAATGATGTGATTAGATGGTTTTAGATACACATTTTTTCGTAATTTTTTTAAAATTGATTGCATCCCTTATTTTTCACCTCTAACTCATGCGGCTTTTTTCACGTGGAATCTTCCTGAATCCACTTAAATCCAGAGTTGTAGTCGAGTCCTGACAAGTCCTGACAAGTCTTTACAAGTCCTCAAAAGTACTTACAAGTCCTGACAAGTCCTCACAAGTCTTCACAAGTCCTCACAAGTCCTCACAAGTCTTTACAAGTCCTCAGAAATACTTACAAGTCCTGGCAAGTCCTCGCAAGTCCTGACAAGTCCTCACAAGTCCCCACAAGTCCTCACAAGTCCTCACAAGTCTTTACAAGTCCACAGAAGTACTTACAAGTCCTGACAAGTCCTGACAAGTACTTACAAGTCCTCAAAAGTCCTCACAAGTCATCACAAGTCCTCACAAGTCCGCACAAGTCCTCACAAGTCCTCACAAGTCCGCACAAGTCCGCACAAGTCCTCACAAGTCCTCACAAGTCCTCACAAGTCTTTACAAGTCCACAGAAGTACTTACAAGTCCTGACAAGTCCTGACAAGTACTTACAAGTCCTCAAAAGTCCTCACAAGTCATCACAAGTCGTCACAAGTCCGCACAAGTCCTCACAAGTCCTCACAAGTCCCCACAAGTCCCCACAAGTCCCCACAAGTCCCCACAAGTCCTCAAAAGTCCTCACAAGTCTTTACAAGTCCACAGAAGTACTTACAAGTCCTGACAAGTCCTGACAAGTACTCACAAGTCCTCAAAAGTCCTCACAAGTCACCACAGGTCCTCAAAGGTCTTCACAGGTCAGACTGGATTATTTCATATAGCTTTATTTATGCAAAATTTTGAATGAACATTGACATAGGAATACCTCTTGTCATCACTTGTTATTTATGACAATTTTGTTTTGAATACAGAATATCTGGCAAAACTGGACGTCAGATTTGTGGAGGCTGCTTTTACAATTTCATTTTTTTTCCTCGTCTAGTCTTATGACTCTCCTCCAATTATTGCCCTGGCATCCGGGGCTCTAAGGAGCATCCTCAAGGAAGCATCTCAAGTGTCTGAGCTGTCCAGAGAGCTGTCCAATACCCACATTGCACCGATCATAACAGCAGCCTTAGAGCTTAAGACAGAGGTAAGCAGTGTTGTGATCAAGTTGGTCACAAGTCATTACAAGTCATCACAAGTCATCACAAGTCATCACAAGTCATCACAAGCCATCACAAGCTAATCACAGTTCAACACAAGTCACTGTCAAGTCAATCACACGTCAATCACAAGTCAATCACAGTTTACCACAAGTCATCGCAAGCCAATCAAAAAATCAATCATTAGTCAATCACAAGTCACTCTCAGGTCAATTTCAAGTCAATTGCAAGTCATCACAAGTCATCACAAGTCATCACAAGCTTATCACAGTCAACACAAGTCACTGTCAAGTCAATCACACGTCAATCACAAGTCAATCACAGTTTATCACAAGTCATCGCAAGCCAATCATAAAATCAATCGTCAGTCAATCACAAGTCACTCTCAGGTCAATTTCAAGTCAATTGCAAGTCATCACAAGTCAATCACAATTCATCACATGTCAATCACAAGTCAATCACAAGTCATCACATGACTTTTAAATTGGTTTCAGCTTGAAATTGGTTTAAAGCAACATGTATTGTCTGCGTTTCGCTGTTTATCAGTGGCAGGAGTCTGCAGTGGAGATTCTGACTGCCTGCATTCAGTACTTCCCGGGACCATCTGGGACTTTCCGGACCCGTGTCGAAAACTTCCTCGTTCAACTCATGGGCTCCAGCAACGACATCGACATTGCAGTGGTAAGACTATTTGACATTTGGATTGTCTGAACTGCCTTTCTAACCGAACCCAAGCAAAGCTGCCCCAACCCTTCCCTCACGCAACCTCGACCCCATATCAAGAGTTAACACACAGATTTGTGTACGGTTTAGGCCTCCCAAGATGGCATCCAAGTGACTTTGGTCTGTGTTCTCAGTGCCCTATCCACTAGTCTAACCCATTAACACACAGATTTGTGTAAGGTTTAGGCCTCCCAAGATGGCATCCAAGTGACTTCAGTCTGTGTTCTCAATGCCCTGTCCACCAGTCTTACCACTTAACATACAGATTTGTGTACGGTTTAGGCCTCCCAAGATGGCATCCAAGTGACTTCAGTCTGTGTTCTCAATGCCCTGTCCACCAGTCTTACCACTTAACACACAGATTTGTGTACGGTTTAGGCCTCCCAAGATGGCATCCAAGTGACTTCTGTCTGTGTTCTCAATGCCCTATCCACCAGTCTAACCAATTAACACACAGATTTGTGTAACGTTTAGGCCTCCCAAGATGGCATCCAAGTGACTTCAGTGTGTGCTCTCAATGCCCAGTCCACCAGTCTTACCCATCCGCCTATCACTCTCTGTCTCTACCTACCTTCCTTATCCCTCCGCCCATCCAAATGTCCTCCTCATTCTTAAGATTCTCCTCGTCTCTCCATCCAGTCGGCCGGTCAGTGCCTGGCCCTGCTCCCCAGGGTCGGTGGGGGAGGGCAAGGGGGCGTCAAGCACACCGAGGCCTGGTCCTATTACTGCCAGCGTGCCCTGGCTAGCATCGATGGCGTGGTGGACAAAATCTACGGAAATTCTCGACCAGGTAAATATGGATTTTTTTTTTATGGGGGGGGGGGTGTTATTAAAAAATAAGATGAGCCAAGAAAATGACTGGAGCTAGATTTGAACAAGAGAGGTGGCTATTGATTACTTTTGGGAGCTCTAGTGGAAGGAACACATGTACACTGCGTGTGCACGCACTTTTGTTTTACTATACTCCCGAGGACAATGCTTTGTGTTTCCCTTTGTCCTTGTAATATAACACTCTCCCATAGACTAAGCACACAAACCTACTACAGAGGACCGTTTCCAACAAAAGACCCAACTCCCGAGGACTGAAAGGATCTGTTGTTCTCCCTTTGTGTGTCTGTCGTGGGTGTTATGTAGAACAAGTACACACAGGTTCACACGCGTATCGCGTAAAGTAGACACAACTACGTCTATTCTAAATCTGCACAAACCGGGACCGTCTTCGCCTGAGCGTCAGGCGATTTCCCAGTGGTCTCTCCCAACTCTCGCTCTTTTTAACTGGGGTAATTGTGCATGGACCCCATCGGCTCTGTGCGCAAGTACCCCCTCAACGGCAAGAAAGGGAGAGTTGGGAAGACCACTGGGAGAGACATTCAATCGCATTGCCGACGACGCCTGATGCTCACGCGAAGACGCTTCGGCTTTGTGTACATTCAGAATATAATAAGTTGTGCATACAAGTTTGCGCTATACACCCGTGAATCAGTATGCACAGGCAGTGTGTCTCGTTCACGGGGCGCTTGAAAGTGGTCACGGAAACCATGCCCTAGCGAATGCCCTAGCGATCACCGAAACCTTGGCCAAGCATCTTGACGCTACCCACCGTGCTCTCCTGCGTTACTGCCTTTGTGTGCTACGTTACTGCCTGGGTACGGCTATCCAACATCGACTTGTACGCTTGTACATAGTATGCGTAGCACCTGCCACAACCACCATCCTGAGAAATCACCTTTGCTTAACCCTTTTATTACCACATTGTTTATCGACTTGGCTCTCCCCAGGACCAAATTGTTTGCTTAGTCATGCGGAAATCACTAGAGCGTGAAAGAAATGACCACGAGTCGAAAACTCCTCTTTTTTTTTACCTAGATTTTCACTGCCAAGGAGTGATTAAAATCATAGGTGGTGTGTGTAAAGTTTGTTCCTTGAACCTTACTCTTTTATGTGATGTTGAAATGAAGTCCATATGTGCAATTATAGGAAAGTTATGCCTTCTTGTTCATCTGGTCCCATTTATCAAACTGCAAGCCATTTCACCACATGACCAAATGGCACTCCATACCTCAAATTGTGCGTGGATACTTCTGAAGCACTTTTTTCATTTTTTTTTGTAATGTTAACACAATGAATAAACTACACCATTACAACACGATCCGAAAATACTCTTTCAGCTGGTATATGGTTGATGTATGAGCGGCCAAACATATCAACATGCCGCCTTTCTGAAAAGTAGTAAATATATCTGTGTTGAGGGTGTTCTGTGTGTGGTTTCCTGGTCGACTAAAGTCGCCCATGGGAATCAGCAGGGGGGTAGTTCTGGTCCAGAAAAGTCGCCCATGGTAAGGAAAGGGTTAATTGGTCTTGCACTGCAGAGACCTGAGGTGCCTCTTGCTGTCTTCCTGAACCCCCAAAACCAACCATCAGAGCACTCCAATAGGGAGGAGGCCTGCGTCGTACCTACGTCAGATCATACGACTCCAGTAGCGTCAACTTAAACTAGTAGTAGTTGAAAGTGGTAAGAAAGCGCCCTCTCATGGTCGTGCATGGAGCCCATAGGACCTGGATAGCTCAGTTGACCAGCGGTATTCTGGGGCCCATAGGCTCCAGGTTTTAACGGGGTTTTTTTGGGGTGTGCTTTTTTTTTCATTCAGGGAAGCAGACTGAGCCCTCACAGCCACCGTTCCCTTTGCCCGACGCACCTCTGAAGGAGCCCACTAGGACGTATACATTGATCAGGCAATATAAGGTGCTGTGCGCTTGCCTCCAACACATGCTGAGGTTCGTGTTTTTATAGTTAGTATTTTTGGCCGAGGTTCATAATTTCAATGCTGAGGGTTTTTTATTCTAATCTCAATAGGTAAATATTATTTTGGTGCTGAGGTTGTGTTTGTTGTTATTAAGTTTGATAGTGAGGTTATGTGTAGCGAGGTTTGAGGTCTCTTTGAAGTAGAGTGTTCGAGAAAGAAATATCTGCATTCATAGATCTGCAATTAAGCATCTGATTTTACAGTTGGTGTTTAGTTGTCAACTAAAGCATGGCAGTTATGGATAGATAGACCATGGATCCTACACACAAGGATAAACGACTGTTCTGAGCTCCAGTACATAATGCACTGAGCGGACTTGCCTTAATTGTTTGATGCGTGATAACAGGCATTAATACCCGTTGGCCTGAAATCGCGAATTTTCCCGGTGTGCCATTGTGTCGGTTTTTTGCATGACATCTTTAACGGAAATATTCATAAAACTGTATGCCAAACTACTCCTTATGTAAGACATAATTCTTCAAAAATTGTTAAAAATTAAATACTTCAGAATATAACAGATGGTATTGTGCAGTTTTTGTCATCAAAAATGAAATATTTACCTGGAAAATAGACGTCAAATTTACCATTTACCCAAATTTCATTTTAAATTTGGGTTTCATTAAGAAGTATTAGACAGATGTGATCCGAAATTGATGAAACAAAAGCAACATTTCATTGTTCATTTTTAAAGCTTAAGATATTGTGTTCGGTATTAACATGGTTATGCAGTTATCGCTTACCAGAATTCAATAATAAAGACCAAAAACGTAGACTCATGAATATTCAAAATTATAATTCGCTGGCTTGACAGACTTTGAGGCCAGATCGGGGGAAGAGCCTTGCAAATCTGAAAGCCACCGCGCGCAGTGGTCTTTGTTGAAAAGTATTCATGGTATTTGCCGCCAGTACAGGGCGTTATCACGCGTCTAACCAGGAGTTCGGCTGAGTCGTTAATCCTTGTGTGTAGGATCCGTGGATAGACCCAAATTTAAGGTCAGTAATTGCTAAACGGTAGGGAAAGTAGCATTGTTGTATGACATGCTTTCTATTACATTGCTTTGACTAAACTATCAGTCACTTTGCATCATTTTTGTTTATATACAGGACTGATTTTCCTGAAATTGTTAAAATTCCGGTGAACCGCATCCTGTCGCTGTGCGTTTCGATTCTTGTACCCAACATGCTGGTGAGTAAATCTGTTATATTTCTAGTTTTTGTTCCTATTTTTCACAAAAACCCCAAAGGGAAAAAAGCCGTCTAGTTTGTATTATTCAGCAACGTTAGGTTGATCCTGGTTGACTTTTTAGATTAAGATCAGAACATCTCACTGTTTTGATGTAGGTTCAGTTTACTGTATTTTTATTCTCAGGTTTTACACCTGCTAATATGAATTCAATCGTTTTGCTGTATTTGCTTTACTCTTTCAGTCCAAGGGACTAAAATCTTCATTACAAAGTGGAAATTTTTCCTCGGTGCATATCGAGGCGTTCAACATTTTAGCTGCTCTGATAAGCAGGTAAGCTATGGGCAAGTTTGCGCAAGAACTGTTGTCAACCATAGTTTGGCTAAGTTAGCCGAACTCTGTCTAGTCGACGATGGTTGGACTACGATAGTCGACTATTTGGAACCAGCCTACTGGGCCTGGTCGCATCACTGGTTGTCAATAGCCTCGTTTCGTTACTTAAGTGCAGAGGGAACCATTGACAAGAGATTAAACGTAGCGAGTTGTACGACCAGCTGGTGGGCCTCGGAGATATCTTCCAGTTCATTCAAGAGGTCAAAGAACGTAAACAATCCAAACATACTCATGACCACCGTATGTTGACAATGGTTCGACTAGAGTCGTTGGCACTTTAATGTTACAGCGCATGCGCACTATTTGACACCAACCAACCATTGGTTGACTAATGGTTGTTGGGCAAACTTGCCCCTATGTGAATACGTCATTTTGATGTCTTTATTTTGTTGAAGAACATTTTTGAAAACTTGAGAGTCACGGAGAACACTTGGTTTTTAATTTGCCCCTTCCAAAATCGATGATCCTAAACAATCATATATATTGAAATTCATTTCAATTATATTTATTCCTTTATTTGGATTTCTTTAATTTCTTCTTTAAAAAAAGTGGCTAACGTGTTACCAATAAAGCCTGCTTTTAGAAATTGAATTCTTCAAGGGACTTATATCTCCAACATTGAAATTACCAAACTCTCCCAGAATTTGATTGCAACTTTATTTGTGTATTTTATTCAGTTGCCGTGGCAACCTGAGCCTCCATAGAAACGTCGTCAATGAGCTCTTCGTAAAGTCGCACGCTTTCAGGCAGGGCGTCCAATCAGAAGACACCAAGCACAGGGTATTAAGGTACGATATAAGCTTTGCGCAGGAACCGAGAGGGCGCTGTTTTGCCTCCCCATGAAAACCAAATAAAATTACGTTCATTGCCATCTGGATTTCTTTCGATTGATAATTTAGCTCCGTGCAACAGCTAATAAATAACCTACTGAAATTTTCACATTTTTTGCATGGTATCCAGTTTGTTTCTTAAAACATGTTGATTCTGTTACCATGGCAACTAATTTATGTCTGTATCTATTTCAAAGTGGTTTGAAGCTTTCTGCCTACGCCGCTCTTGAAATCTGGTTGGAGACGGTCGGGATGAATTCTGGGATAGAAACGGCCGCTGAGAAATTACTGGAGTCAATATTGACGGACGCACAACCCCAGGCTCAAAGAACAACGGTAAAACAGCCTTCGAAGGCAAACAAAAAAATTCATCACTTAAAGGGGCACTAGGTCCTGAAATCCCCGACAATTTCATGTTTTGGATTGTTTACTTAGCCTATTACAAACATCTGGTTGAAAGGAAACCAACCTAATGTCTTACCGTTCCCGAGAAAAGGCGAAAAAAACCTGGTTGTTTACATCGGACACGACGGAGTACAAATATGTTTTTCGTGTCGTTCTCAGTGTACGATATACAAGTTGCAAAATCACCAATGCAAAAAATGTGGTTTCTTCAACGTCCGCAAGAGGCGAACACTTTACGAATGAAATCACAACTAGCATCCAAACAGCTCGAATTTATGGGGTCGCAAAATTGGACCCCGAAATTTGTTCTCACTCGCATAATATAGGAATAACACAAAAACGCCCAGTTTTTAAAGGATAGTTGTGTGGATGTTTATATCCTAGTTTTAAATGTTCTTTCCGATTAGCATCATTTCGTTCAAAGGGCGTTTTGTAGCCCAATTGGGCTGTTCCAGGACCCAGTGTCCCTTTAATTTTTGAAAGTTTCACTATGCTGATCGTAGTGTTTGGTTATGTCAAAGCCAAGTTTTAAAATCTTAAAAGATTGTTTTCAAAACATCCAAAGATTTGTGAAACGCTGGTCGTAAAAAGGAGTTGAAATTCTCATTGTTATGGAGGTTTTTTTTTTTACAATCATGTAATAGATTTTAATCACATTGCCCCCCGATAGTTGAAAGTGACCTCTGATAAACCTTCGCTGACTGTCAAGTCGTCTGGAAAAGCCAAGAAGAAGGGTGAGACAGCTGGAGGAGAGGCCAGCACAAGCCTGGCCGGCCAGCAGGCAGCCGTTCCATCACCCAGCGGCCGAGTGTGTCTGGCGGCTTTGAAAGGTAAGGGGGAAAAAAAATTGAGAAATAATCATGAGGTGATCATAAAATGATCAGGGCCAATTTCCAAGAACTGTTGAGAAAAACTTTCTGCTTATTTCATGGAGACAGTAAAAAGATAAATAGTAACTCCAGAAGCAGAAATTACGTAAAACGTTGACAGTAAAAATTGTCATGCGCGTGCATGTGTTAGACTATGACTTTGGAAACACTCAATGTTTAATAGCACAAATTTTCTGCTATAATTAGCAAAACTTTTTCGCTTACTCCTAGATTTTCTACAAAAAAATTCGAATATTTGAAGATTTCAGAAAAGAATTTGTACAAAAAATTACACAAATTACACAAATAGGCACCTTTCAAAGGCTCTGTTTAGTTTTTGTTTTTTTGACCAAGTCTTGTTACGTTTGTTTATGTTCCTTTTACAGTCTTGCGATGTCTGCAGATGAGCGTTGGAACGAGAGTCAAGCCTGACTTTCACAAGGTACTTTATCAATAGACAGTCCCATATTTTGGCTCTTTTTTTCTCATTTTTTCTGCAATTTTCTGGCTTGATGTTCTTTGTCGCTGAAATGTCTAGAATTTTTTTTTTACTTCGCAGGATGTACATGAGTTTGTCGTTCCGCTGTTGCTTCGCCTCCAACAATCTCCCCAAGGTCTGGCCCCGGCCCCATATTCCAGCGCAGACTGTCGTAAGGCCTTGTATCACGTGTTACTGTCGTCGGTGATCGCGCCTCATCCAAGATGGTCGGCGCCCTTGCAGTGTGCTGTGGGGTTGTTCAGTCGCGGAAGACAGGATACCAGTATCAAGGTATGCATTTTCAAAAGGAAAAAGAGTTTGCAAATGACCCATTTTTGTCCCTAAAAGGTACAGTCCATCATTTGTAATTTGTGCATTTTGTTTGTTGGAAGCAACAACAAACTTGCTCAAAATCTAAAGAAGGGTGCTGAACAACTAACCTGATGAAGTTTCAGCTCAGCTTCAGCTGTATATTCCGAGAAAAACAGCATTCTAGGATCTCAATTTCAAATCAAAAGTTGCTAAATCATGTTTTGAATTGGGCCTGAATTCAGCGTTTAAGACACGTTCTCACCGAGCCGATTGCAGCTACGCGATGTCGCGCATTGATCCAACAAATGACAGCAACTGCGCCATGTACGTCGTGTCAACGAATGTGCGCTTCGCCGAATAAAAAAAAACCACGCACCGTTGCAAAGGCCTTCTTTTGTTCATTTCTTCAAAATGACAGCTTGCCAGAAAGAATAATTTCCCAGGGAGTTTAGTCCCCTTACTATCTTTCAACCAAGTATGTTTTTCAACAATAATTATGTCAGTTACTTTTTGGATAGCTGCAAATGATGGACTGTAGCTTTAAAAGAGGATTTTTTGTTGTAACCATGTGAATTTCTTTTAAAAATTTGGCTTTTTGTCACCGTGTTGCAGGTTTCCAGCTTTTGTGCAGAGGCTTCGATCATCTGTCAGAGCATCATCCATCCCAGGGTTCCTTGCCTCCAACAGCCTCTCAGCCTTGCCCAACTTGACCCCAAGAGGGCGCCCTCACAGTCCGTCTCAGAAGCCCGGACCAGATCTGATCCCGACTACATGGAAACAACTGATCTGAGTGTTGGATTGGCCACACCAAGTCAAACCGCGGAAGGCAACTCGGTTGGGCTCGATTCTGGTGGTGGAATAGCACCCTCTGTTGACAAACACATTCCAATTAGATCAGTAGGTATCGCTCAGCCCGCAGTTGCGACGGCCAAGATGGAAGTCCCCTCAAACGGTACTGAGGAGAGTGAGGATTCATCTGATGAGGATATCGAGGATCAGGAGATCACAGAGGATGATCCAGGAATCAAAGAGGATAATCAAATCAAAGGGGATTATCAGGAGATAATCCAGGATCGTCCTGAAGTATCAGCTTCTAAAGAGACCACCAGCAGAAGTGATGCAAGTGTAGCATCCACAAGTTCTCAGCTCCAAGATGATAGTGTCCTCGCTTCAACAGTTAGCATCTCAGGTGGCAAAAAGGTCGCCAGTTCGTCAGCTTCTTCAGACGATTCAAAGATCTCCTCGCCGACAAGAAGATCCAAGAGGCAACTGGCGAGAGTTCAGGAGGAGGAGAGGAGAGAAAGAGAGAATGCGGGTGCTAGGGAGGAGTCTGGAGATGCCGACAGTGGGAGCAAAAAGAGGCGGAGAGAAGACGAAGATGAGGACGAGACTAAGGAGGAGGTACCGGTACGTATGCCATTCAGCTTTTGTCAGAGACTGACAAAAGCATTTTTCAAAACCACGGTTTTGTCTCCGGCTTTGGGTCCATTTCTGCTGAAGTCCATAATGTAAGGATGGAGCTGAAGCTGGAAATAAAGTCGAAATTTCAAAATCCTCTGTAAACTTTAAATATTACTAGTGCAGTGCCCGTCTAAAATGTGCATGTTCGGGAAGCGCAAATTGCTTTGCCGCTGGTATTGGTTGCATGCTTGCAGAGTTTTTGAGAACTGCTCGTGCAAACATTGCACGCGATTCAATGGTGTTGTTTTCACAGGTTGAACGTACACTCACGTCAAAGTTTGTGCCAAGTTTGAAGTTGTTTACGCGAGTGGTTCTGGAAAAAGCTGCAAAAAATAGCGCAGATATTCACCCCTACTGGTTAATGGTATCGCCCTGCAGTAAGATCGCTCAGTGGACCGCCTGCAATGGTCGCTCAGTCGACTGCAAAAATAATGTGCCCGTGCAGTCACCATGTATGTGTACATACAGAAACATGGTATGCAGTGCTATTCAGCCATACTGGACAATGGTATCACCCTACAATGCACGTGCGCGTGCCCATCCTTTTTCCATTGTTTGCGTCATATTGAGCACGCGCGCTTTAGCTCAAACATGACGTAAACACTTGAAAAGAACATCAGTGCGTGGTGGTCTAGGCTATATACTGGCACGTTTGCCTCAGAAAATATTACTTTTTTGCAGCTTTTTCGAGAACCGCTCATCCAAACAACTTCAAACTTGGCACTGCACATTCTGTGGCCCCGAGCAATACACCCGCCGATTTTCAACTTCATACAGTGCCCGGTTCTGGAGATAATCGACGGACAGACAGACAGACACACAGAGATTCCTGGAATTATAGTATATATGGTTGAACCGCTCATCTGATGAATTCTTTTAAGAAAAAAATATAACCAAGTGAAGAATCTCAGTGACAATTCATCCCTAGGTCTTGATTTGATGAACCCTTCTTTTTGTTTCATTATAGGAGAAGAATCTTGAAGGAGATGTTTTGGATGAGACAGATGTCATGCTGGCAAGCTTCGTGGACTCGTTGCCCGATAAGGAATAAAAACAAAAAAGGGAAAAGAATATAGTATCCAGACGCCACTTCTTTGGTTATGGATAAAGTCTATGGAGAGTGGAGTGCATTTTCAAAGTATTTTCTAACCAATTTGGAAATGTTTCTCAGTCCCAGATTCATGTCTTTTCACCAATTTGGCAATGACTGACCTTCATTGAGATAATGATGAAAAAAGTGGCGTCGGAATGCAACATTCTTTCAAAAAAATTTAAAGCCTTTTTTTTTCATTCCTTATTTACTTGCTGACTTAATTCTTGACATAAGTTTTATTTGTACAATTATACCGAGTACAAACACAAAAAACAAGAAATACGAATTTTATTTTTGATCTTTTCATTTTATTTAACCTGATAATCTGATGATTACCATCATCCCAAAAGCTCTGGGGAAAAAATAAACTTCACTTTTTAATAATAACGCTATATTTAATTTGAATCGATTCAACTTGACTTGTGAGAGTCAGTCAATTGTTGATTATAATAAATTAGTGGTTAATATATTTTCATGAATAAAGTGGCCTTGATTTTGTCATAAGCAACACTACAGTTTTCATTTTGATGGGGGAAACTTACAAGTGAAAAATCATGTTTGGTGAAAAAACTATATTTGTGTATTTAAAGGGAGTGTATACCATTTGCAAACATTCAAAAACAAAACTGCTAAAGTATAAAATTAGCCTCTTTGTAAGTAAATACATGTAATAGTATGATAACATCCTGTGTAATTGTTGCGCCTTGTATGCTGTCATTTGCAAGAACAGATCAGTACTTATGATGTGAATAATGGCTTTTGTAAAAATATATCTGTTAGCAGGCCAAGCCAGCTATTGACTCTGTGCTCGGTACATTATATTTTTATTTTATAGTATTTTTGTTTGGTAATGAAACCAAGGATTCCTCAAAAGTGCCCTTGGCACTGTAGCTCGAAAGCCTGCAGAAACCTGTAGAGAGGAGACAACGAGAAGAAATTACAGGTTTAGAGGTGGGAGGAAAACCCCATAAGATATTCTGGGGAAACCCACAGAATCAGGTAGGGACTGAAAACCCAATCCACATGTGGACCAGGGCAGGAATCGAACCCGGGCCACAGCGGTGGAAGGCGAGGAGAGTAACCACTGCACCAACCTGACTCTCTATGTATGTTAATTTAGTTCCCAAGACATGACACAGCGGGCACTTAGGCATGCCCTTTGACCAGAGGGTCTGGGGTTCTATGCACGATAGATTCCGCAAGCTGATTTCTGATGAAACAGCAGGTCTTTTTTCATGTTTTTCCAGCACCAATCTACGCAATTTTTCAAACAGGTCCGTGGAACAATGTCCATTTCAAAATCACAACAAATGGTATACATTCCCTGTAACAAGATTACAACAAGACTCAAAGGTCTTTATGTTAAAGATATAGTCCATCATTTGTAATTTGTGCATTTTGTTCATTCGAAGCAACAAACGTTCTCAAAATCTAAAGAAGGGTGATAAACAACTAAGCTGATGAAGTTTCAGCTCAGCTTCAGCTGCATTTTTTGAGAAAAACAACATTCTAAGATCTCGATTTCAAATCAAAAGTTGCTGAATCATGTTTTGAATTGGGCTTGAATTCAGCGTCCGAGACTGTCGCGCACCGATCCGACGAATTATAGAGAGCACGCGCGCGTGTGCGTCGTGTCAACGCTTGCGCGCTCTTCGCCGTATAAAAAAAACGAACTACTGACAGAAATTTCCAACGATGCGTCTTAAGACGCACCTTTGGAAAGGCCTTCTTTCGTTGGATTTCTTCAAAATGACAGCATGCCAGAAAAAATAATTTCACAGGGAGTTTAGTCCCCTTACTATCTTTCAACCAAGTATGTTTTTCAACAATAATTACGTCAGTCACTTTTTGGATCTATAGCTGCAAATGATGGACTATAGCTTTAAAGATGCATTCCCAATGCTATTTTGGAGTTACACCTTGAAAAATATATATAATGTTGTTTAATTGGTATTTTCCTAGCAATATATAAGTTATTCACTTTTGAATGAGACCCTGAACAAAAAATCCACCTATGTATGTCAAGTTATTGAATTATTTCTTCGCACTCGGCTCTCCCAGGGTGGATTATTTGTCCACAAAATAACAGCCAATTTTCAGAGGGTTGCAGACGCCCCTACTCGTAATAAAGTTTTGCTTTTGCTTTCGTTAAAGGGAAAATACAACACTTGCAAAACATCAACAACAACAAAATAGCAAATTATTTTGAAATACCTTGCTGGACTGTTAGTGAATGACAGTCTAAAGCATCCTGTAAAATCATGGCACCTGATATACTGTCATTTTCAAAAAAAGTGGTATTTTGGTATCAATTTCCAACGCTGGTCAGCCAACCAGCGTTGGAAAAAAACGCTTTTTTCAAATACTGGCCCCAGTTGACCATATTTAGTTTGTGCGCATTTTGTTTGCAATTGATTACACACCTGTGAACAGGTACAAGCCAGCTAGACTGGTTCCCTGACCTTACAATTCCCCAATGTTTCCGTTTAATCTTAAATGGACTCGGGGAACCAGACTACAGGAAAATGATTGTTTTTCTTGGGTTTTTATAGCATCTACAAACCCAAAACGTCAAAAAAGTCAGTGTAACAATACTTGCTATATATTACCAACCCCCAAAATCCATCCATTTCTGAAAATTACAGCAAAAGCAAATGATGTATATTCCCAAATTGAAAATTCATTAGGAGACAAAATTCAAATTTTTGGAAGAGCATGGGCTATGCATCTTTAAGTCCATCAATGACCACAAAAAGGTTTGTTTTTTCCCAAATAAAACTTGTAAATCAATTTATAAAAAAAAAAAAAAAAAAATCCTCCATTCTTCGTTCGATCTCTTCCCTGCAGCTTGGTTATGTACAGATACAAACTACAAACCTTTCATTTTTATCAATCTGCATAAATCATTAGTAGAAAACTATCAGACATTGTTTTTATTCTTATTTACAATTTGTATTTCATTTTATAATTTCCCACATAACAAATTTTGGCATAAAAGCTTAAAATCAATGAACAAAGCTACACGTATGTTACAAGTAATAAGCGATTGACCATTATTTATGTACACACGTTAATTTTACGGAAAAGCGAACTTCACTTCTGACCCACACGGAACGTTTGAAGTGAAATAAAAACTAATAAAAGTAATGAAACAAATGCGTTTTTTCTCAATACTTTTAATGTTAAAATTTGGCAGCACCTAGGGCTGATTAAATTAAGTGCCATGCGATTAAAAGACTAAGCGCAGGGTAAAGCGCCCTCTTTTGACCACATGGAAATAAGAACATGTGACCAAAGGCATGCCCACTCTGCTGCAAACACACCTGCACCCGATTTCACAAAACTCTTCGTAACTTACGATGCGTTGCAGCGATACGACGCATCGTATCCCTGCGATGCGTCGCAGCTGCGACGCGTCCTGCGATCCATTTCACAAAACACGTCGTAAGTGCGACTCATTGTATGTGTATTTATAGCACAACTCGGTGACTGTTTTATGTATTTAGTCAGTGTACAGTAAATAGTCGTCTGGTATTCAACAAAGAGTTGTCGGATCTCCACTCGAAATTTGTTAAAACGTAGGACAAAATGGCGGCTGTGCGATGCAATTTTAAACAAAAACGAGCTCTCAGTGGACTGTGCAGCTACCGGTACTTTGAAATTTCAACTGCAATATTCCAGGGTAATTCATAATTGTTCAATGAATTTTCTATTTAGAACTTTACACACCTTGCCTCGGTATTATAATCTCGTTTATGTGATGTTTATGGCACAAAGCTGGCTAAAACGGACTCTTCTTATTTTGCGAAGACTACTAGACACGTCGTAACTTGCGACGTTTTTTAAGCCGTTGTCAAGGAACTTACGAAGTGTTCAACACATCGCAACTTTCGTGAAATGGATGATACAACGCGTCGCGAGTTGCGACGTGTTACACGTCGTAACTCGAGTTGTGACGCGTCGCAGCGCTGAAATCGGGTGCAGAAGTACTCGACAGTAAAGCCAATGTATGACTTAACTGTCAAGTAAATGTACATCTTGATTAACCCTAACTCCCTAGAGGCAGGATGCAACTTCAATCCTGCGAAATCCTCAAACTGCCTCCATGTAAAAATAGCATACAGCCTCAATCCTGCAAATCCTCCGTTATTTCTTGAATGTGGTTCCTTGGAGGGGTGACCACTCCCTCATTCCTGCAAAATCCTCCAGCAATCACTGTCAATATGTTGAGGCAGAGCCAGTGACATCCTGGAGCAGTGCGGAGGATTTCAAGTATAACCTAGGCCTAAATGTATGCACGGCTGAGCATAAACAACACAAGGTCCGGCCCAAGACCTTGACACAGTGCATCCTCCAAAATCAGACACACAGTTTTGCCATTGTAGCCTCGATCCTGCAAAATCCTTCCTTTTGCAAAGAGGATTTTGGGGGATTTGGGAAGGTTAGGGTTAATTGGTCAACATAAAACAACAAACACTGGCCATTGTAAAAACACAATGCACAGCTTATACAATATTTTGTGAAGAAACTAAAAAAAAAAAGGGCCAGACTTATTAGGAAAATTAATACTCCATGTATATAAAATACGTACAATGTAAGAGTAAGACAAGACATCTCATACATAATACAAATACTTTTGTATTAAAAACTACTATAAAGATAAAGTCAATTCTCTGCCTAACTATACACACTGTACATGCTTTAAAATCCATTAAAAAAGAAACTTTATGGAAGATTTGTTTTTCCAGAGGTATGTTGTTCGAGAATATTTTTAAACAGGCACATATGGTGGGTACATGATGAAAGATTTCTTTCTCTTTAAAACTTTACAACTAAATAAATGAAAACAAATAAAACATCTGTAGCTAAAATGTGCTCCTAAACATAGACTTGCATAGTCCATCCACTACTTCTTTTCAAAAATTTCAAAGATACTTCTTTAAATACCATCTCGTCCTTCTGAATACAGTGTGTAGCATGCAATGGTGTGTGTTTTTAGAGTTTGGCTACTATTGCTGCCTTTAAAGGGAAAATACAACATTTGCAAACATCAAAAAATAAAACTTCCAAATCATTTTGAAATACCTTGCTGGACTGTTAGTGAATGACAGTGTAAAGCATCCTGTAAAATCATGGCACCTGGTATACTGTCATTTTCAAGAAAAGTGGTATTTTTGTATCAATTTCCAACGCTGGTCGGCCGACCAGCGTTGAAAAAAACTGGCTTTTTTTCAAATACTGGCCCCAATTGACCATTGCACTTGTTTGCAATCGATTACACACCTATGAACGGGTACAAGCCAGCTAGACTGGTTCCCTGACCTTACAATTCCCCAATGTATGTAAACTGCTCTGTTTCGTCTTATATGGAGTCGGGGAACCAGACTACAGGAAAAAGATTGTTTTTCTTGGTTTTTATAGCATTTTCGAACCCAAAACCTCAAAAAAGTCAGTGTAACTATATTTGCTATATATTTCCAACCCCCCAATTCCATCCATTTTTGAAAATTACAGCAAAAGCAAATGATGTATATTCCCTTTAAGATAAGACATGTTATACATGTGCTTAGCAAATCTCAACAATAAAAAAAAAAAAACATTCCTTTCACAAACACAATCGGATGGTTACAATTGAGACCCCAAAACTGATCGGAAAATACAAAGTAGAACTATCGGTTTTGAGTTGTCACATGCGGTCAAATTTCATCGCCAACTCTAAACATAGTGTATTGATACTTTTTTTTTCAATCAGCAGACATTTTTCTGGCTTGTGTCAAATTTACATCTTACTTTATATTAGAACAATGTATTCAGTCCGATTTTAGAAAAAAAGTTAATTACAAGTTTAGCGATAAATGAACCACAGCATTCATGTTTTGCATTTTTACATAAATCAGAAAAATAATTCTTTTTATTTACAATAAAACTTTTTTTAATGTTTTTAAGTCATGCTATGTGAGACAGCCTTCGCAGTGACAATATATGGCAGCAAAAATTAAGAAAACGAAACAGTTGTCCACGAGAGGCCATAAATGTGTGTGGTGTTTGACTTGAAATAAGTATGATCAAAGAGCATACAAAATAGTAAACATCACGCAAATATGTCGTCATCACTATCGACCTCTGCTGCTGTCTTTCTAGATGCCCTACATAACCTACCTCTCAGCTCATAGGCTGCTTCAGATCCTTGGGATCTATCCACCTGACTGGTCTGTCGCCGTTCCTGCCGGTCAAATTCCTCCTGCAGCCGCAGCGCCAGCTTGCGGTCTGCCTCTTCTTGCTTGAGTCGTCGCTCTTCCTCACCAACCAGCTCCATGTACTTCCAGATGGTGTTGCGTCTGGTCTTGGAGGGCGTTTTCTGATGCGGACTTGGCAGTCTCTGGCCGATGGTGGAAGGCGGGGATGTGTTTTTCGTCTTAGCCTTGGCCTTAGTTGCGGTGATCTCTGGTGGTGAGGGTCTCTTCCCGCTTTGGGAGTTGGCATGTCCTAATTTCACCTGTTCCGAAGTTCCGTTCTGCTCCCGAATCTGTTCCCTGTTGGACCCCTGAGTGGCGTCCATCAGGACTGCCTTTTCCGGGGTGGGGATGATTTTCTGTCTGTCCATCGCTACCTTGGAGGCATTCTCCTGACAGTTCTCTACCAGAAGCTTCTTAGAAGGGGTTATGGCATCCTTCTTGCTGTCTGATTTGAGTCTGCTAGAGTGCGGGGTTGGAATCAGGCAGGGCAAGGGGGGAGTGTTGCTACTCTGTGAAGGCAGCTTCTGTTGCTTGGGAGAGATGGAATGATCAGGATCTGTTGACTCGCCATCTTTGAGGGCAAACAGCTGCTTGATGCTGCTTTGTCTTGGCTTGGGCTGGTTGGTTCTCATGCGGTACACCTTTCCAGGGCTCTTCTTAACACTACTTGGGCTGTTGCTTGAATCGCTGCTACCACAAGCATCTTTTGTAGTCTTGAGAGATGTCGCATTCTCTAACCGCTGTCGCTTACTCTGTGTATCGGGACTGCAGCTTTTCCGTTTCACTCTGCAGTTTTTATCCGAGTTTTTTTCCTTTGGTGCTGCCTCAGTTTTCTGAATGTGGTGCTTTGTGATTCCATTCACCCGTTCTCTTGGTTTCAATGTATTCTCTGTGACAACAGAGGGCGGGCTTTCATCCTCCAAGTCCATCATTATGACATCACTGTCAGCATCCTTCCAGTCACCAGCTGGCTGTTTTGCTCGGCGAGCCTTTGTCTCATTCAAAGTTTCACTTTTCTTAATGTGATGTATCAGCGTTTGATGTTGGGGCTTATCGTCTGCAAGGGGGGACTTTTCTGGTTTGGCATTTCGCTTGTGAGCAGATGTGGCAAAAAGCGTGTGCCTGTTAGCAGATGGTTTGCGGTGAAGTCGCTTGTTAAGCTCTTGTCGCATCAAGCAGCTGGTTTCGCCTTGGGCAGCTTTGCCAGTCATCGTTGCTTTGGATGTTTCGGTCAACTTCCTCCTCTTTTCTTTGATCAGGCTCTCAAATTTAGCCTTAACAAGAGGCGGGAGGCTGGTGTCTTCAACGGGCCCTTCTTGGATCAGGTTAGCGGTGAGATTCCGAGGAGTGGTGTGGACAACTTTCGGCGACTCCTTCCTGCCGTTGGCGAGCCTACGGTGCGACGTGCGGGGCGAGACATCGATGGGCCTGAAATGGTTCAGTTCCGGAGAGATGCTATCTGTACTAGTCATGCTGTCAGATCGCTTCCTCATGCTTTTGAGTTCACTGACTACCTCAGAGGACTTCTTCTCGACACTCTCAAAGGCACTCTCTTTCTTGTTTCCCTTCTCGTCTCCACCGCCATCGTCTCCCTGCTCCTCTTTCGCATCCAAGACAAAGTCTGGGTTCAGCAAGCAGCCCTTTAAGCCTTTACTGCTTCCTGAGTCACTGCTGGGACTCGGGTAGGAGATATCAGGGCTTGCTGGATTGGAGACAATCTCTAGGATGCAATCGCTTGAACTCCGGTCTCCCCAGGGTGGATCGCCGATCAGGACCTGGTCATTGGTATCTCCGTTGGAGGTTGAGGGCTTGTCAAAGTCCAGAGCGATGCTGGAGACGGAGGAATCACTGGAGGCCCTTAAGCTGGACGCAGAGGAGACACTTAAAACTGGTGAGGCATTGGGAGCAGACTTGGAGGACGATGCTTTGGAGGAGGTTCGGGATGAGGGAGATGTCTGCTTGGCCCTGGGGGAGAGGAAGGTGTCAATGCGGCGACACTTGATGGTGGATGAGGTGCTGGTACTGCTGCTGCGCGAAGAGTTCCGGGACGTTTTTTTGGAGATGATTGTGGTGGTGGTACTTGGTGTAGATGACACACCACTAGGGCTCTGATTAAAAAAATTTAAAAAAACCAAACATTTTTTAAATACATCGGGGCTTGAAACGACTGTCTGACCAAGTTGTATGATTCATATTGTGTTGTGTCTTTCAGTGCCCGATAGATCACCACCCAAGCAACAATGAATCGACAGCGCACAACAGAAAAGTATTACATAATTGTTACCTTCAAGATGTCCTTCTGCAGTTTTCTGGCAAACTCCTCATCCTTCAAAGCTTGCTCGTGTAGATTATGGGCTCTGATTTCTTCCTATGAATCGACGAAAAGAAAATAAGAAAACTGTGTCATGTATATCCCAGGTACTCCAATTAAAGCCCGAGTCCATCATTTGCAGCTATCCAAAAAGTAACTGGCGTAATTACTGTTAAAAAACATACTCGGTTGAAAGACAGTAAGGGGACTAAACCCCCTGTGAAATTATTCGTTCTGGCAAGCTGTCATTTTGAAGAAATCAACAAAAGAAGGCCTTTCCAATGGTGCTTCTTAAGACACACCGTAGGAAATTTAAATTAGTAGTTTGTTTTGTTATTCGGCGAAGCGCGCGCAAGCGTTGACACGACGCACATGCGCGCGCGGTTGCTATTATTTGTCAGATCAGTGCGCGACATCGCGTAGCTGCAATCGGCTCAGCGAGAACGTGTCTCGGACTCTGAATTCAGGCCCAATTCAAAACATGATTCAGCAACTTTTGATTTGAAATTGAGATCCTATAATACTGTTTTTCTCAAAATATACAGCTGAAGCTGAGCTGAAACTTCATCAGGTGAGTTGTTCAGTACCCTTCTTTAGATTTTGAGCACTTTTGTTTCTTCAAACGAACAAAATCCACATATTACAAATGATGGACTGTACCTTTAAAAACCCATTGTCTGTTAGATCAGTGCATTCAGATAATTGCAGCAAAGTCTCCTGCCCAGGACACCTGACATACAAGGGGCGTGGCTAACCCGTAAACGGCGATAGGTCAATTCTTTAATACAACAGCAACTAATTTTGAGACAGAAAAAACCAACTGTTGTAAACAATCCTGCTTAGGGACTATACAATGCAACCGTTCACAGTTCTGACCTGCATGGGGCTGTCTCCCTGCGACATCTTCCGGGCTAACTCCTCGTCCAACTTCTGTTGCTGCGCCAGCTCATTCTGCTGCTCTTCATACAATCGGACTTCCTCCCTCTGCAGCCAGGCTATATACTCCTCGCTCTTCTTGATTTCCAGCTCTTCCATCTGTTGGCGTTCACTCCTCAGCTGGGGGGGGGGGGGGAAGCAAGGCAGAGAAATGCCAAAGGAAAGTTGTCATCAAAGATGATCAATTTGATTTCAGATGAAAACAACTGGGAATATTTTGTAATTTTGGTTGGTACAGTCGCTTTCCTAGTTCCGGATAGCAAACATCATGCAGGCTGCTTTCAGCTCAACTACTCCAGGAATTCAAGTGACATTGGTTTAAAAGTTTCCCTTGAGTGATGGAGAAACTACAAAATAGTTTTCCAAATTTAAGCTCTTTTTATTGTGACTTTGCGACGTCAAAAGTACCGATGCCGCTTTTCCTAGTTCCGGATCGGTTCAATCAGTTCCGAATCGATCAAAAACTGATTCGTGCGAATTTTTTTATTGGAGACTAGTCCAAAAGAGGTAGGTTTTTATTTGAAGCGATCCGGAACTAGGAAAAATCCGGAACTAGGAAAACGACTGTATGGTAGCAAAATAATATAAATTTAGAAATTACCTTCTCTATTGCCTCTTGATATTCTTGTTTTATAGCTCCCGGTTCACAAATTCTCTTCACTGGAAGAAAATCTGAAAGAAAAGGTGAAGACAAAATAAGTTTATTTGCCTCTGTTCTTAGCAAAACATCTGTTATCCCAATGTAATCTGCTTAGGCTTTATAGCTGCACAGGGTTTTACAGGTTTTGAAAAACCCACATAACAATCGATCATAACAAACAACAGAGACTGATGTCCAACTCATCTTTTTCTGTTTTTTTTTCTCTAAACAGGAAGTGTTGCTAAACTTTGAGACAGTTTTTGGATGTTTGATTTCCAAATGTTCAACGTTACATTACTATTTAGGAATATACAGGACAACTGATGCAAAATCAAACCTCAAACTTAACATGTAGTGGCTATCGCTATGGCAGCCATAATGTGATATTCATCTGCTATCGTTGTGGCATTGCAAAAACACCATCTCAAATCTAGAACTTAACTGCTCAACTAATCCTGTGTTTTGCCAAACTTTGTTTTTCTTTTTTTTCCCCTTTTAATGATTTGATTAACTTAAATGATTTTTAATCAAATCCTACTTTTTACAGAACTCGGAAGTAGATTAAATTTACATGATCTTCTTCTTCGTAATCACAATCAATGGCTTTATTGCAGGGATTATTTTTAAAAGGAAAATTAAGTAAGAAAGCCAATTGGTGTTGAACTTGAATAGGCAGATAGGTAAAAAAAAAAAAAACCAGACGGTCGACGACTGCCGTTACAATAGCCACTGACAAAGAATTATAATTCACTTTTTCAACATGTTCAAATCAATTTAAATTCAAAATGACAAAGGTCTATAATATAAAAATATAAATCATGTTGTTGATATTTTTATTTTTAATAAAAAAAATATAATTACAAATTAGACAGTTCTGGCATTTGTTTGGAATCTACATTGTCATTCGTTTTCGGGAATAAGATTTACCAGGAATTTCTTCTGCTTCTTCCTCTTCACCCTCCATCCTCCGGCGGCACTGGTCGGGGAAAGCCTCTTGGATCTGCCTCCACCTCCGCTCATCCATAAGTTTGTTCTCCCTGGCCCGCCGCCTGGCCCAGTTGCTGATCCGCAGTCGACACATCGGACAAGTGAAGTTGGCCTCCTGGACGTTCTGTCGAAAACACGGCATGCACAGCTCGTGATTGCAGGGCATTCGCACGGGCTCGATCAAGATAGACATGCAGATCGGGCATTTGCAGTCAGACAGCCGCAGGTTTGATCGGTTTCTCTCCTTTTTTGCGTCCCCATTTGGGGATATTTCGTCGCTACTCGACGCCATTTTTGCGTTCACAATCTCGATATCGCGCGCGCGACTTTTGACCTTACATTTGCATCTCATGCATAATCATTTTTGGTTGACTTTTAGTCAAATTCAGGTGATATTGAGTAATTTATAGCTAAATCCATGCTTCTAAGGTTAAAAGAAACGATTTTCTTCAGAAAATATTTTAATTTGTTTGTCTTGTCAGGTACTTTGGTGTTCCAAAATGAGTCATTCGTTTTGCGTAAACAACATGCAACAATTGACAAGTCCAATCTAGTTTTGGAGCGTCTGGCTCCCAAACGTCAGTGTGTTTATTTGTAAAGATAGACTATGAAGGGGACTGGCTACTTATTAGACTTCCCATAGTGCATCTGCTGTTTGTTGTTTGCATTTTGCTAATTTTGCTGTCCACAAACGGAAATCGAGTTCTATCTCTTTTTCCTTATTTCAATAATAAAAGGAAAAAGGCATGTTTCTCTTTTTTCATCATTAAGATAAAGTTTAAAAGAAAACACTCTTTTCGTTTTGTTTTTCTAATTTTTAAAAAGAAATACAAGAGGGTCCGGTTTTAATTTGGTTTACCGATGAAAAAAAGAAAACCTCTTTTCTCAATTTTAAGAAGATACAGGGACAAAATAATACTCTTCGCACTATATTTGTTTAAAGTTTAAAAAGAGAAAAGCGTTTCTGGTTACATTTCAAAAGTTTTCAATCTAAATTGAAACATATATTTTTTTATATATATATTGTTTTCTTTTTTAAATTTATATCAAGAAAAACAAAATAAATTTCTGCTTTTGTTTACCATTCTTTAATTAAAGTAAATCTAAGGGTTTCGCTTACATTCTCTCTTTATTTGATGCAAATAAGATAAAGACAATACGCGGTTCCATTTGGTATTTTTGTGAAATAAAAGAAAGACAGACAAAGTTTTGGTTGCCTTTTCTTTTTTGAGAAACGCTACTCTTATTTGTTGACTTTTTATGTATTTATTGTTGTTGTTTTGTCATGATTCATGAAGTCACCCCACTTTCTAAACTTATTACTCCGCCCATATATCTGCGCACGTTCGTGATGACGTCATGACAGAAATGCAAGATGGCAGCTCCCAGGCCGCAAGTTGCACGTGTGTATTTCTGCCATTTCTTTGAGATTTTCTCCTCTTTAAGCGACTGATTTAATTTTATTTACATTGTTGAAATGTTAATATTACTTATATGACATAATGAAGTTCATATTGTCAGTAAAAGTGGTATAATTCACGTCTGAAGTTGTCATTTTTAATATCCAAATGTTTATCGCACGCGCACCGCAGTACAGTAGGCTGTACGCAATCCGCATGGCAGGCTGTATGCAGCGTGCACAGTTTTCAGTGTCAAACACTGAAACAAACAGGGAGGAATTTTGAGAGTTTTTGACAAAAATATTTCTCAGTTGATCTTTGTGTTGTTAAAGCTGGAATCCTGGATTACCAAAAATAAAATCCATGATATTTGTGACCCTCGCTCCAGGAAAAGTACCTTAATTATTTTCAATGATTTTTGGGAAAAAGAGACTTTTTGAAACCAGATTACTTTTTGGCTAATTTGCATATTGAATAAAATTATAGCTTTTGGGCAGTTTTGGATGTAAAATAAAGAGAAAAATGCACACAAAATAAGTTTTTTCCCCCTTTATTCATCAAAATCAACATTTCTGTGAATGAATCCTTAAACTTTAGGTATCAAAGATGTCAATTAAGACCAAAAAAAGGAATTTGGATTTTGACGGAAAATTTCACCCTCTCAACATTCAGCGGGCCATTACACGTAAAAGCATAACCAGGGGTGTGAAATCTCAGCTTTAAAGCTGATTTCAGCTTTTTTTTGTTTCGGATTTCAGCCTTTTTCAGCTTTTTCCCTCATTTGCTGTGTACAAATGTAGGCCTGTAGCCTTTAGGAGATTTCCAAAGTTCAGCTTTTACACCTTTTTTCAGCTGTTTTCAGCTATTTTTATCAGTGGTCACTCACACCCCTGATAACGCGACTTATATCACCTTTTCCTGGAGCGGGTCACGTTTTTGAGAAAAAAACCAACAAATTATTTTATCCAAATATTTATTATAAATATTTGGATAAAATAATTTGTTGTTTTTCCCCCTTCTTTTTTGTCATGTTTGTTTTAATAATAGAGCTTGGAGGGGGGGGGGAGGCTAGGTTAGTTATCAATTTTGAATTAGCATTAGGCCTACCATAGTTCCTCCATGGGCCTACTTTTCCGTTAAGTAGGCCTATATAAAATTAAAGTAATGATTTTTAGACATTACATTTCTCGTCTTTGACTTTGCCAGTGCGTGGAACACAAGGACTATGGATGGTCAATGGACCACCAAGAATCGGAGAAAATGCCCAGTTTGCCAGGTAGCCTATATTACTTCTTCTTTTTTTAAAGATATAGTCCATCATATTCATTTGTAATTTGTGCATTTTGTTCGTTTGAAGCAACAAAAGTGTTCAAAATCTAATGACGGATACTGAACAACTAACCTGATGAAGTTTCAGTTTAGCTTCAGCTGTATATTCCGAGAAAAACAGCATCCGAGGATCTCAATTTCAAATCAAAAGTTGCTGAATCTTGTTTTGAATTGTATTGAATTGCAGCTATGTACGCGATGTCGCGCACTGATCCGACGAATTATAGCAACCGCGCGCGCCTGTGCGTCATGCCAATGCTTGCGCGCGCTTCGCCGAATAACAAAACAAACTACTAATTTAAATTTTCCTACGGTGCGTCTAAACACGCACCGTTGGAAAGGCCTTCTTTCGTTGATTACTTCAAAATGACAGCTTCCCAGAAAGAATAATTTCACAGGGAGTTTAGTTCCCTTACTATCTTTCAACCAAGTTTGTTTTTCAACAATAATTACGCCAGTTACTTTTTGGATGGCTGCAAATGATGGACTCTAGCTTTAATATATAAGTTACACTCTTGTTATTCCTATTTCTCATTGCATACATGGCCAAATTGCAGGTATCAAAAAATCAGAATTTATGTTTATAGTTTCAAGAATGAAAAAAAAAGTCATTTTAAATTTGAACTTGGGGAAAAACAACTTAAAAAAAAAGGTGTTTATGTAAATCAAATAAAAAAGGGCTTGTGCGGTGAAGTCTTTATGTAATTTAATTAAATTAATCGGACGTGTGCTTAACTTGATCTTTGAACCTTTCATTGAATTTGTTCTCTTCGTTTCTCTTTCCCCAATTTTTCTTCCAGGGATAGCAGCCCAGCATGCAGGGTCATGGCATACAGTCCGGATGGCACACTGTTTGCGTGGTGCAACGGCCAAAGGTGACAAATTGTTTACTTTTTCCCCCCATTGCATTACATTATGTAATTAAAGGGAATATACAACATTTGTTTTTGCTGCAATTTTCAGAAATAAATGGATTTGGAGGATTAGTATGTTATAGAAAATATTGTTAAACTGACTTAATTCAAGTTTTGGGCTTGTAGATGCTGGAAAAACCAAGAAAACCTATCATATTCTTGTAGTCTGGTTCCCTGACCCCACTTAAGATGAAACGGAGTAATTAAATTAATTTGGGCAATTGTAAGGTCAGAGAATAAGTCTAGCAGGCTTGTACCCCTTCACAGGTGTGTAATCAATTGCAAAGAAAAGTCAGAATAACTAAATATGAAAAAGTAGGAACAGTTTTTGAAAAACGCCAGTTTTCTCCAACGCTGGTCGGCCGACCAACGTTGGAAAAATACAGTTTTTCTTGAAAATGTCAGCACACCAGGAGCCACGATTTTAAAAGAAGCTTTACTTAATTATCACGTAAGGTATTACGTGATAATTTGATCATTTCGTTCTTTGGTGTTTGCAAATGTTGTATCTTCCCTTTAAGCCCCAACTAAAGCAATGGCCCTAACTATAGTTGGGACAGTCCCAACTATAGTCGAGACATTTCCCCATTAAAGTTTGAATGATCCCAACTATAGGCAGGACTATCCCAGTTACAGTTGGGACGATGCTATATTTTGGGCAATACAGCTTCAATGGAAGAGATGTAGAAGATTGCTGATTAACTTTGGCGCAAACTATTTGTAATCTTTTAGCCCCATATCCCTGAAATGCTACGTATAGTCCCACCGGAAATTTCTGAAATATTTTTAGACGCAACTATTTTTAATGCGTGCATCTTTGATAACTGCAAAAGTCAAACACACTTGTTCAAGACGCTGACTTATTTCCAAAGTGGGACTTTTTCTCGTTGATTTTCAACAGCACGTCTGTGGTCAGAGTCGCCGATTGTCAGATCGTCCAGCAGATTGCAACCTCCAGAACTGCTCAGCTGTGCTTCTCCCCCATTGGGACCTACCTAGCGACATGGCAGCCTTACCAAGGTAATGAACAACCTTATAACACCTCACCCACGGATTCTCTGTCTTGATTGGCCGAGAGCGAGTCACATGTTACTTTCTATTTTTGCTATCTTTCTGTGCTCGGCCAAAAGTACTATACCCGTAGCAACCAAAGTAGGCCTACTATACCATTAGCAACCAAAGTACTATATCCACGGCGCGGTATTTGTGTGCAAATGCATGCTGGTGTGCGCGTTGCGCGTAGCACGTATTGTTCGAAAGAGAGCGCGCCGCAGAGTTAGGTTCAAACATTTCGTGAAGGGGTGGTTTGGAAGAGAGAAATATATTTTCCCCAATTTTGTATTGAAATTGAAGTTTATTTCAACTGTGTTCAGATTTAAATACATTAAAATATTAAAACCAAGCAGAATCTGTGAGTAAAATCTTATAAAACAAATATTGACTGCTTTATGTCGTGGTGAAGTAAAACTAGCCTCCCTCGGTGATCCATGGAGCATTCTATTTTCCCCAGCATTCTATGGATCACCTCGGGAGGCTAGTTTTACTACACCACTCGAAGCATTCAATATTTGTATAAAAGAGCTACAATAGACCGAATCATTATGCCCTGCCCCATAATATTTGGACCAATCACAATCCAACAAGGGTTTGGCATGCCGACATTTTCATGACTCACTCGTCTTGAACACGCAGTGTGGCATAATATTACCCGTATTCGTTGTGGGTGGTGCCTTATGGATGGGTCTGTTATAAACCCTAACCTTCCAAAATCCTCCAAAATCCTCTTAGCAAAGTGGAGGATTTTGCAGGATTTTAGGCTATATGGCAAAAACTGTGTGGCTGATTTTGGAGGATGCACTGTGTCAAGGTCTTGGGCCGGACCTTGTGCTGTTTATGCTCAGCTGTGCATAAATTTAGGCCTGGATTATACTTGAAATCCGCCGCACTGCTCCAGGATGTCACTGGCTCTGCCTCAACATATTGACAGTGATTGCCGGAGGATTTTGCAGGATTGAGGCAGTGGTCACCCCTCCAAGGACAACGTTCAAGAAATAGCGGAGGATTTTGCAGGATTGAGGCTGTACGCTATTTTTACATGGAGGCAGTTGGAGGATTTTGCAGGATTGAGGTTGCACCCTAGCAAAAATGCCTAGGGAGTAAGGATTAACGGAGCGCAGACTTATTTCCTCATACAGAATACAACCAACATGACCCAAGTGCAGACAGCTCCCAATCTTCATGTTCATTGAATATTTTGAATGAAATGGAATGAACAATTTTTAGCCCAGTAATTTTTAGTCGAATAAAATGGAATGAAAAGTTGTAAAACCAGTGATTTAGTTGTCAGTCTCGTGTCCAGGGTGTACTATTTATTCATACTAATGATAAATTATATTACAATTTTATTTGAAATAAAATTTTGACATCAGTGTTGCACTGTTTGCATTACATCCAATAAAAAAAACTAACCCTAAGTTCCTATTAAAAGAGCATTCAAAGAGAGTTCTTAATCTCTTTTCTTCCCCCCTCCCCCCACTTTCTCAGCCGTCAAAGACAACCCAGCAGCCAGCCAGAATTTGCACATCTGGAGCTTAGAGACGGGCCAGGTCGTCAAGGCAACCATTCAGAAGAAACGAACACTTTGGTAAAGAATGAATACGCTGTGTTGCAATAGTTTCTGTTAGACTTTCTTATTTCAGAATTTTGTCAATAGTCCTCTGGCAGTTTTGGCAGCAAAATAGGCCTGCCGGCAAAATTGTCTAAAGTTGGCAGATGAGCTGCAAGGAAATAACGCCACCTATTTTCCATTAGTATCTTATACTTTGAACAGCCTCATATTGGTTGGTAGGTTGGTACCCCCCGCCCCCTCCCAAGGGTGACCGGGGCAGAATACAGGCTACTTTTTAGCGGTTACCGTCTGTTGGCATTAACTGTCTCTTACTTCCCGCCTTGAAGCAGTTCACATATTTCTGGGTTTGCCAATTTTCAGGAAGCCTCAGTGGTCGTCGGACGAGACAATCTGCGCTGTCTTTGCGAGTGGCGGAGTTCACTTCTATAAAGAAGATGATTTTGGTACGTTTTGCTATTTTTAAATGTTTTGATTAAATTCAAAGTTACATGAAGAAGAAAATTGGAAACTTAAATTCTTAAGAAAGTTTCTCAGTTATCTAAGAAAAGTACAGTTTTGAGAGAAGAAGCCTTCGGCCGTGGCCTGTCAGTTATTTATTTACCAGATACTGCTGGAAGATGATTACATATTGAAGCGGAAATTTTAACCTGTTTTGCAGAGAACATAACAGCAAGATTGACACTTCCCAGATTGGATGGATGTGTCCTATCAGAGGGCGTGGCTCCTCCTTCAGTCGCTGCCTACGTGCCAGTTGTGAAGGTAACAGAGAGCTATATTAAAATTACAAGAACGCTAACTCCTCATTCTTACGCCCGGAGATACTTAATAATAATTGTGCTTGATAATGTATGTTATCAGTCATCCAGTAGTAGTTGATGATTTTTCTTAATTGAATTGAATACTGGAACTTACTTTATTTTTGCAACTGTGCGACGTTGCGTCCGAAACCATCGGACTTCATCAGGCAACTGGTGACCTGGTGGACTGGTCACGTGAGAGACGGCTTGGAATCCCTTGAATGGCCTGGTCCCATGCATGTGATAGGTTGAAGCTTAGCCCCCCTCTTTTGTTGAGTGTTGGTTGTTCGACCCTTTTCCAATAATTGTGCTTATATAGCACTTTCCATCGTATCAACGATCTCAAAGCACTTTACAATTATTACCCCGTTCATCAGGCCATGGGACCACGCGGCAGCCGATATCAGCGTTCAATCGGTCCTCGACCCTCACAGGTACCCATTTATACTCCTGGGTGGAGAGAGGCAATTGTAGTTAAGTGTCTTGCCCAAGGGCACAAACACCATGTTCCTGGCTGGGTTCGAACCCACGCACCTTCGTACACGAGTCAAACACCATAACCGCTGGACCATGGCGTTCAATACACTTGGAATCCTTCTGCACGCAGACATTTTGAATTCATGTGCGTGTTTGTAGAACATAATGAAATTAGATGGAGTGAATTTTGAAAATCTACTCTAAATGCAACGCGCAAGTACAACATGAGCAAACAACTTAAGTGCGTCTTCGGCAACTAAAGGGCCCATGCAATATACTTTTTCTAATGCAGTCCTTGAAAACATACCTTTGTGTCCCATTTAACCTGATTCAAAATTTTCGTTTTTCAATTTCAAGGATATTTTGGTGCCTTTTGGGATTTTATGCTAATGGATTGCCATATTCATAAGCAACAGTGTGATGTCATTTCAGGCACAAACCACTATGCTCAGCTATTTCAGCACGAAAAGTTGCCAGAATTGGGGATATTTTGCTGTCGTGAATTTTCTTTTCTTTGGTGATTAGTTGTTGTGTCAGTACATGGCAGTAAGCCAATGAGCAACTTTTTCTCACAAATGTTTTCAAGGAGCAGATTTTGGGGTTCACATTTGAACAGAAAACCCCTAAATTGAACAGTGTCTTCCTGAAATGACATCACAGCAACAGCGCCCTCAGTTGTCCGGAAAAGCATGGAACATTTGTTATGTTTATTAGAAGTGCACTTTTGAGTAAAATTAACCAAAAAGGGATGTCAAATATTTTCATACATTTAAGAGGAGTAGAAAGTTGCACAAAATGTGTCCCTAAGAAAAATTCATTTCATGAACACTTTAATAAATCAATCATTGTTAGTCACGTGGCTGTATTATCAGTAGCCCCTGGCCATTTCGTGAATTACTTCATTTTTATATCTCCTTTTGATTGGTTTTTCCCTACTGTTTTAGGGGACCCCTGCCTTTGTCAGGTTGTATCGATACCCCAACTTGGGGGGCGAGGGTTCTGCGTTGGCCAGTCGGAGTTTCTTCAAATCTGACAGCGTTCACATGCTGTGGAACAAGAAAGGTGAGTATAAAGGGACATTATGGCCTAGAAGGCACCCAATTGGGCTACAAAAACACGTTTTAAACAAAATTACATTAATTGGAAAGAGCATTTAAAAGTAGGATATAAATGTCCACACAACCATTCTTTAAAAACTGGGCATTTTTTTGTTATTCTTGCAAGAACCATGCAAGAAAGAATTTCGGGGGTCACAATTTTGACTCCGAAAAATCGAGCTGTTGAGTGCTAGTTGTGAATCCTGCCGCACAGTGGTTCGCATTTTGCAGACTGGTACGAAACAACAACGAAAAGTCCAAAACAAGATATTTTTCATGGATTTCAGGCCATAATGCCCTTCTAACTGTACTGGACTGCTCCCTTTGATTTTGATTTTCACAATTCAAGTCGAAGTTCACACTTCTAGCCAAGGTCACAGCTTTTTACTTTTGATTGCTGTTCATGTCCCACTTTTGACAGGAAATGCTATTCTAGCTATGGCTAGCACAGACGAAGACAAAACGGGCAAGTCGTATTACGGAGAACAGTCGCTGCATTTCCTGGAAACCAGCGGCGAGGGATGTGCTGTAACACTCTGTGAGTAGTCTGTCTGTTGGTCTGTCTGTCTGTCTTCATGTATTGTTGGGAAGTTATTCGCTCATGCGGCCATGGTTTTGTTTCTGGCAAATACATTTCTGGCTAAGCAATTTCCATTTTATCACATTGGAGATTTGTCCATTTTACCACCATTTCTTTTAGCAAAGTTGCTTATTGAATTGATATGTTTGTTTGTTTGCTTGTTTATTGAATTGATATGTTTGTTTGTTTGTTTGTTTCATTTCAGCCAAGAAAGGACCCATCTACAGCATAGACTGGAACCCCAACTCCTTAGATTTCTGTGTGGTGTATGGCTGTATCCTTTAAACTGGAAACGTGTCCGACATTGTCATTTTCAAATGAGCGCATCTAAAACTTGGCAAAATTTATCTGACAACATGACATATTTGCTGACACCAGGTCAAATGTAACCTGATAGTTGGTAGGTCATGTAAATCTGACAGTAGGTCATATTTACCTGATAGCAGGTCATATTTATCTGACAACAGGTCATATTTATCTGACAGCAGGTCACATAATAACCAACAATGGGTAATATTAATTGCCACTGGGTCATATATATATATGACTGTTGGTCATATTTATCTGACAGTAAGTCATATTTTTGTGACAGTATGTCATATTTATGACAAACGCCATCTTTACCCTAAAAGAAGCTCACATCTTTCAGACAGCAACCTTTTTTGACATTGGGGCATAATTTCTGACGACAGGTCAAATGTTTGTTTCCTTGACCCATTTGTCATCAGTCAGCCCAGCCAAAGCAACCCTCTTTAACCTCAAGTGTGAGCCCATCTATGACTTTGGCACCGGACCTCGGAACTGTGTGTACTACAATCCGCAAGGGACTGATATCCTTTTGATACTTTGTCAACAAATCCTCTGTCATCATGGGCCATGTTCATTGGTTGATGCTTAGGCCAAAAAAAAAAAGTCTCCGGTTTCTTGTATGCGCGTGCGTCGCCGTAGCCATGCGCGTCGGCAAAATAAAAAAGGTTTTTTTTCAATGAAAGATGATGTCTCAAAACCACCAAACTCACTGGTTTGACTGGAATTCTGCTGCTGCACAATTTTAACGTGTTTTTAGATTGGGTTATGGTCGAGAATAAGCTTTATGTGGCCTCTCTGGACTCCCATATATTTGCACTAAGTTTAGTCGGGCACCATTTGCAGTCATCAGCACACATTTGAAGCAAAAAAATCAGGTAAAAAAAAAAAAAAGCCGTGTCGCCGCACCACTTTTTGGGCAAGCTCCATACCAGAAACCGGAGACTTTTTTTTTTTTGGCCTTAGCAGAGTTGTAACGAGTCACTGATTTTTGTGACTCGAATCGAGTCGAGTCATTTTAAAGAAGTGACTCGAGTCATTAGGTCAAGACGGTCGAGTGGAGTCGAGTCGAGTCAAGTATTTAGCTCGAGTCAATGCGAGTCACAAATATTTGAGCACTATACAATAAATAAACACTAGAGAGAAAGTCATTTTTTGGCTTTTTAAATTTTACATTCGGGCTACTACATGTGGCGACACCACATTTGCCTCTTAATGAAAATAAAAAGGGGGTGCCAGCTGATCGTCATTCAACTGGGGACAGTGATCAAACCACGTATGTATATGTATACATTATTCGCGAACATTCTAACGTGACGTGAACAAAAACCTGCACCGGCGTAAGTCATTGCAAATATTTTTCGCAAAGTTTTGCTTTTATTTTTGGGACTCGAGTCTCATTAGCCTTCCTCGAGTCGAGTCGAGTCATTCTGATGAGGGACTCGAGTCGAGTCGAGTCATTTGCTCGCAGTGACTCGAGTCGAGTCGAATCATTTGCCCTTAGGGACTCGAGTCGAGTTGAATCACCAAAATTGTGACTCGAGTCAGACTCGAGTCGAGTCATTGACTCGAGTCATTACAACTCTGATGCTTAGCTGGTGAGCTGGCAAATCTGAGGCAGATTGTATGGAGAAAACAAGGCCACCGGCTGAAATGCATCAAGGAATTGTTTTCAGATAAAGTGTGAACCGTTGTGAGGATCACTTTTTTTTCGGAATTATTGCAGCTTGTTTCCTTAATGATTTTGTACTGATTTGCCTTGCCGGTTTCGGGAACTTGAGAGGGAAAATGGTAAGAACGAGTGAGATAGTTGCTAAAAATACAGGTTTTGTATCGTTTAAAAGGGAATTGTATTGTTTAAAAGGGAACTTAGTTGTTCTAAGAAGAAATAATACAGTCGACTCTCGTTAGTACAAACTCTGTTAATACAAAATTCTGGTTATAACAAACATAAAGGCTTGGTCCCAACTGTGCATTTATGTGCACAATGAATGGGACTGATGTTCCTCTTAATACAAAATTCTGATATAACAAACAATTTGGCTAGGTCCCAACGAGTTTGTTATAACGAGACTGGACTGTATATGTATGTTTGTGTCTGACAGGGGGGCCCCCATAAAAAAAATCAACCCAAGTCACTCCCCCCACCCCCCCACCCCCAGTCCCCATTCCCTCCCCCTCCCCCTTTCCACTTGAAATGTGTTAGGCATATAAGTGATCATGGTTAACAGATTTAATAGCAAATTTCACGTTTAGGGGCATCTTAATGTGAGACAGATGACGCTGGCAAAAGTTGCAGTTTATGTAGCCCTTAACACACCGACAATATTCACACTGTTAAGTTTTGTTAACCCTAAAAGGCCGGATTATTTTGACCATCTCTCAGCCGGGGGGATCCCCCCCCCCCCAAGTTCTCGGCCATCGAGTGACGAAAAATTTTGAAACTCCGTACATGCATAGAGCAACTCATCATGAACATACCCAAGAAATTTCACGACTATAGGTCAAAGGGTTTTGGAATTATGGCTAATTAATTATTCATAGGTACGAATGGTAATTCTGTACCCGTGTTTTGCTTCAGTTTTATACCCGGTCCCTGTACTACCCACAAATGCATACCATTACTTGATTTCAACCGCAGAGCTATATTAAATTACTAGAGCGCTAACTCGTCATTCTTGCGCGCAGAGACGCTTTGAAGCCGTCCTGGGCGAAGACATTTTGAATTCATGCGCTTGTTTGTAGAACATAATGAAATCGGATGGATTGAATTTTGAAAGTGTACTCTAAAAGCAACGCGCAAGTAGAACATGCGCAAACAACTTAAGCGTGTCATGACAGTTCAAAAAACGTCACGGCAAAAAGCATCTGCAGCGAATACGCGCACGCGTTGCGCTGTTTGCGTAGAGCAAAATGACACTCTCATTTGCTGATTATGCGTTTCGGTTTTGGGCGTATCGGCTTCGATAACGCACTGGTATGGAATACAAACGCAGATATGCAAATACTAATAGCCGTACAAAAGCCATACAAAATTGCTAGTTCTCCATAGGTTTGTGCACAAACATGGATGCGCCCATCAGGCATTACTTTGTACATCGAGTTAGCGCTCTAGTAGTTTAATATAGCTCTATGATTTCAACTCAAGTTTTCAGTGTTTCATTGATTGATTGATTTCTACACAGGAATTTTGGGGGCGGGGCTCCCTGAAGTTGGTCAGTAGGATGCAGGCTGATGACTCGACGCAGTTTGAGTGGAGCCCAGATGGGGAGCACTTCCTGACTGCTACCTGTGCGCCCCGCCTCAGGGTGGGCAACGGGTGAGTCACTGTGTCCCTCTGGGTGTCTGTCACCCTATGTGTTCAAAAAGGTGTGATTAAAAAACCGACAAACAGACCCTTGACATTTGATTGGTGGAACTCACAACACATGACATTCGTTATTGCCCCCTTTCAAGCCGGGGCTCAAAAAGTCCCATTATCGCCCATGGGGAATGGGAAATACTATTGAACAGTTGGGATCATTCTTGTTCCATGACGTGGATTTGTGTGCAAATGAATGCTGGTGTGCACGTTCAGCGTTGCGCGTAGCGCGTATTATATAACTGACATACAGATCCTAGTCATTTGATTGGTGGAACTCACATCACGTGGCATTCGTCATTGCTCCCATTCACGCCGCGGCTCAAAAAGTACTATCCGCCCATGGGGAATGGGAAATACTATTCAACAGTTAGGATCATGACGCGGTATTTGTGTGCAAATGCATGCTGGTGTGCGCGTTCAGCGTTGCGCGTAGGCTGTATTGTTCCAAGAGCCAGCGCTACAGCGTTAGGTTCAAACATTTTCGTGATGGGGTGGTTTTGAAGAGAGAAATAGATTTTTCTTCAGTTTTGTATTGAAAAAAAGTTCAAATATATCACATGACAAGGATCTATATATGTGGGTCATTCTATAAATTTGGGGTCCACTTTTTTTCCTGTCCCTGTTACGTCTGACATCTATGATTTGATCATTCTGATGCACTCCTTTATGCAGTCATCCTCCAAGAGTGATAATGAATAGCAAACTACTTTCCCAACAAATAAAAAATACTTTGATGTCATTCATAATGATACTTGAATGGCAAATGACAAAGTAACCAAGGTAACAGGGACAGGAAAATGTCACACTTTGGACCCCAAATTTATAGAATGACCCATATGTCAGTTATATAAAACAAATATTGAGTGGCTTTAAATTGTGAAATGGGAGGAATATTATCGCTTGGTAAAATCTGGACTTTTCCAGAAGTCCAGATTTTTCCTCGCGATAATATTCCTCCCATTCCACGCTGAGCCACTCAATATTTGTATACTGTTCAAAAGAGCCAGCATTACAGCGTTGGGTTCAAACATTTTCATGAAGGGGTGGTTTGGAAGGGAGACTTAAGTTTTCCACCAATTTTGTATTGAAATAAAAGTTCAAATAAATCAAATGACAAGAATCTATATGTCAGTTATATAAAACAAATATTGAGTGGCTTTACATTGTGAAATGGGAGGAATATTAAAATCTGGACTTTTCCAATTCACTTGGCAAGTCCAGATTTTACCTTGCAATAATATTCCTCCCATTTCACTCTGAGCCACTCAATATTTGTATACTATCACGTTTTTGGGTCAGTGTTTGTCCAAACGTAATGAAATTCCTGTAGAGCCCAGATGGGAATCACTTCCTGACTGCTACCTGTGTGCCCCGCCTCAGGGTGGCAACAGGTGAGTCACTGTGTTTCTCTGGGTGTCTGTAACCGTGTGTGGGTAGGCATACACCGCGTTATGGGGAAGTTTTTTATTGGCAAATTAGGACCGAGTTATGGGGACTTTCTGCTGTCCCCATAGCATTTTCGGTCCCCACAAATACCTTGCACAGACGAGTGTAAGTCCCCACAATTACGGAACAAGAATGTGTGTTCAGGTCAGTGTCACTCAGATTTTGCCGAGGGCATAAGTAGTTCACATCACACACAAAGTAACGTAACTCAAAGCAAATGTTGCCTCCTGACTTGTTCCCTTCAGGAAGAGTTTCTGTTACTTTTGCCTGGATTAAACGATCCTTTTACTTTTCATTTTGAACCCAAGCTACAAGTTTTGGCACTACTCAGGCCGGTTACTCAACGAGTTCTCCGTTCCCAACGACAAGGAATTATGGGAAGCCGTATGGCAACCGTTCCCTGCTGGAGCCTTCCCAGCAAAGGCCGTCATCAGCCCACAGACGACGGCCACCCCAGCGGAAGCGAAGCCAGCCCCTTACAGACCCCCAAACGCAACTGGTGCTTCAAACTTCAAATTTTTGGTAATTTTTTTCGCTGACATAGCGTTTAGACATCTTCACTAGTAAGCAAGAGTTTGAGAGTTCAAATTCGACCGAAGCAAGCTCGTGAATTTTGTTGGTAAATTTTTCTAGGGATTTTACCAAATATGGTTTTTGGGAAAAGAGCGTGAGCTTACTTTTTTGTTTATTATTTATTTATTTTTGGAACAGGAAGAAGAACTTCCAGAGGCGTTGTCTGGTAAGACCACGTCAACTTTATCATCTTTTAGCAATTTGTTTATTATTCAACACGTGAGCCATGAAATTGCCTGCTTCAGCATCTAGCAGAGTCAAAATAGCCATTTCCAATAATCAACCATTCCAACAATTAACTTGTTAAAATTCCTTCTTTTTAATTGTAGTCCTTTTTTGTTGTTTAATTGTACCAATGTAGGAGGCCCCCACCCCTCTGTTAATTTGATAGTTTTCATTTGTTTTATCTCCAGTATTTTTTCGTGTTATTATTGTTCCTGTGACATTGTTGTGTTGATCGTTTGTATGTAGACCACGCAATATAAATTTGAATTAACATGTGTTTATTTATTATTATTCAATTTCAAGGTGTCCTTATTGATGGTTTATCTTTACTGTTGTTACAGAGAAGGCTCTCTCCAAAAATGCTCTTAAAAATAAGAAAAAGCGAGAAGCAAAAGCCAAGGCCAAGAAGGATGAGTTGGTTGGATCACCTTTTGTAAGTTGAATTTGTGTAAAAACGCCCGGTGTTTAAAGGACAGCTGTGTAGACGTTTACATTCTACTTTTACATTCAAAGTAACGTTTATTTCCACATGATCATAAAGAAAAGTACAATAAATATAGACAGATGTGGAGGCACGTTCCAAAAAAGCGGGGCTTGTCAAGGAACAGCCCGTTTACAAAAAAACAAAACAAAGTAACAGCTTCACAATAAACGAATAAACATAACACCACCTATAACAAGAACACAAACAGTGTGTATACGTGTACGACGACTAAAATAAGAAAAGATATGATTCAATAAGAAAAAAATAATAAACCAAGATCAGAAAAGTAAAGTAAGTGGGGCTTACTGAGTCGACTGGTGGATTAACAAAGACTTCAGTTTGTGTTTGAAAAGAGCGAGTGATTTACATTCAGAAAGTGGTAAGGGAGGACTATTCCAGTTGTTAGGGCCTGAGAACGTAATAAAATGTTGAGAGAGAGTGGTTTTAACCAGTGGAATGTGAACTTTAGAAGAAGACCGGGTATTATGACTGTGAACAGATCTGTTTAACTGAAAAAGATTATGCAGAGTTGGAGGAAGTACATTATTGAAGAATTTGAACATGAAAATATTTTGTTGGAGGCAGTTGATATTGGCAAGAGTGAGAAGATTAAACTTGCGAAATAACGGCGTGGTGTGATCTCTAAATTGAGCCTAAATTACATGCTCTTTCCAATTAACATCATTTTGCTTAAAATACATTTGGTAGCCCAACTAGGAGCATTCCAGGAAGTAATGTCCCTTTAACGGCTCAATTTTTTATTTGGTTTTGCAGGATTCACGTTCGGCCGAGCAACGAGATGCCTTAGCCATGGCCTCGTACGTCCTGGCCCCGGCCCAGAACACGCCGGTGACTCCGGCCTCAGAACAGGATGCCCCGATCTCTGCAGAGACGGACAAGAAGATCAAGAACCTCAGAAAGGTCAGTGTGGTGGCTCCGAAAGGTCAAGGAAAGGTCAAAGAATGGCCAAGAAAGGTCAAGCAAGGTCAGGAGGGAATGCAAATAAGCATACGCAAGGTTGAACAGGTCAGCGAGGTCAGGAAAGGTCATCCAGGTCAGTAAAGGTCACAAGGTCAAAAACATCACCAGAGCAATGTTGGAGCAAAGGCTTTGACCCTCAAGGCCAAGGCCAAGGCCAAGGCGTGGACCTTCAAGCCTCGAGGCCAAGGCCAAGGCCTAACCCTCAAGGCTAAGGCCAAGGCCAAGGCCCTGTTTTATAAAATGACCACTAATATAGAACTAATTATAGTCACATGACACATCATCACGAATCGCTCATTAAGAAGAACAAGTTGTCTTTAATTGCAATCAACATGCTCGCATACACTGCGTTATGACTGCATTGTGTGTATTAAAGTATAAGTTCAGGTCTTCGTGAATATGGTTTATTACTAAAACAAAATAACGATATATTGACGCACTCTCCCGAGTGTAACAAAAGGGGGATCCAAGAAACTGATTTGGGAAATTTTTATTTGCTGGGCCAACATGGTCAGAAATATTAGCATTATCTAAAACAGATACATGCAAATCTTTAGCACTTATCAGGGAGACATATAAAACCAATCAGATCTATTCCATAATTGTATACAATTTAAGTGATCATCTCATTAGCCCCACAAGTGTACAGAATATTGTTGCAGCAAATCTACTACAATGGTAACAAAATATGATGCTATAAAAGTGGAAGTGTGCCCAACACACAAATCTATAGGGTGTTTCCCTCCTCCATGGTAACACGATTAAAATGGTAACAGCAAAATTTGAAACAGATTTATCTGGAAAATGCAAAAATCTATGGGCCTTGAAGAGCCTTGACTCAAAATTGTAAGGCACTGATCCCTCAAGGCCAAGGCTTTTGCCCTCAAGCCTTGAGGCCAAGGCCAAGGCCCTAAAGTCCAGCCTTAAGGCAGCCTTAAGGCCAAGGCCCAGCATCAAGGCACTACATCACTGCACCAGAGTCTTGAGGGGATGCAAGATGAGGCCTTTGTCTGCCATACCACAAACTACAGGTATGGCTTTGGAGTGTCTGGCGGGGCTACAAAATTGTTTTAAAAAAAAAGGAAATCTTGTCAGAGGTCACTCAAACCAAAATAAGTAAGATTTGAGGCTTTGCATGGTGGAGATGCTAATGAATGAAAGGTTTGCAGAGACACCATGTGGGAATAATTTCTCAAAGTTAGAGAATGGTTTTGAAAGAACGAGAGATATAAAGTCGACGTTCCGGTCAGTATGCTCTGACCGTCTTCAGGAGAGTGCCTAAACTCTCCTGAAGACGGTCAGAGCATGCTGACCGGAACGTCGAGTTTATACCTCTGGTTCTTTTCAGAACCATTCTCTTAGTTTGAGAAATTATTCCCACTTGATTTTTCAGCAAACCTTTCACTCAAACCAAAATAATACTATTTTTATTACTTTTTTTTAGAAATTGAAAGCAATTGAGAAACTGAAGGCCGAGAAAGCCCAGGGCAAGACTCTGGAGGCAAACCAACTCCAAAAGATCGAGGGAGAAGCGGCCATCGTCAGTGAGTTGCGGGAACTGGAACTGAATAGCTAAAGTCGGTGACATCACCAACATGTCAAACTCCCTTTTTTATTTCTTCAAATTCCAAAATTGGACACCAAATACTGAAGGCCAAAAATATTGTTTTTCCAGCAATCTTTTCTTTGGGTTGAAATCGTAAGAAGGCTGTACCCAACATTATTTATATACATATGTGCAGTCATGCATAATTGAACCCTGCATTGTGCTCGATGTCATCGGCACTGCCTCAACCCATTAAAGGTATAGTCCATCATTTGTAATTGGTGCATTTTTTTCGTTTGAAGCAACAAAAGTGCTCAAAATCTAAAGAAGGGTGCTGAATAACTAACCCAATGAAGTTTCAGCTCAGCTTCAGCTGTATATTGTGAGAAAAACAACATTCTAGGATCTCGATTTCAAATCAAAAGTTGCTGAATCATGTTTTGAATTGGCCCTAAATTCAGCGTCCCAGACACGTTCTCACTGAGCCGATTACAGCCACGCGATGTCGCGCACTGATTCGACGAATAATAGCAACCGCGCGCGCGTGTCCGTCGTGTCAACGCTTGCCGAATAAAAAAAAGGAACTACTAATGGACATTTCAAACGGTGCTTCTTAAGACGCATCGTTGGAATGGCCTTCTTTCGTTGATTTCTACAAAATTACAGCTTGCCAGAAAGAATAATTTCACAGGGAGTTTAGTTCCCTTACTATCTTTCAACCAAGTATGTTTTTCAACAATAATTACGCAAGTTACTTTTTGGATAGCTGCAAATGATGGACTCTGGCTTTAACAGTGATTGTTGGAGGATTGAGGCTGAATCCAATTTTTACATGGTGGCAATTGGAGGATTTTGTAGGATTGAGGATGGTTCCTAGCCAAAAGGGCCTGGGGGGTTGGGATTAACTTTATTTCATTTTTGTCCCCAATTTAGTCTTATGCTTATTTTTGTAACAGGAAAAGCATTCCTGCACTTACTTAAATAGGACATTTAAAATTTAAAATTGTATTGATAGGTATTTTTGCAGAAAACAACAGCATAAAAAAAATGTATAAGAAAGGATGATCATCTTGTTTCCTTTTTTTTAAAATAGGCCTTTTGCTCGAAAGGTCTAGTGGAATCGAAAGCTGTTAGAAATTGTATAGTCTCATTTATTTCCTGCAAGTCCAAATTTATTTGTGTAATTTCTTCACCGACAACCCATTTGACAGTAACAAATATTCTGCCATTACTGTGAATAAAGATACAGATACGTTTGTGGAATAACCTCATTAACCGGTATTACAGCCTCGCTTATGTAATTTTTTTTTTAAGGCATATAACCGTTTAATATGACAAATTGACAGAGAACAGGTACCATTATTTTATTACACTCATTTATTCATGCTGATAGGTAAATGCTATAGTACTTGTAGCGAAGACATTTCATAAAGTAATGTTTACAAAACCATCCACAACTGTTTCATGTTTAGCAAGAAAATTCACTGTAAAATTAGATACATCCTAATGCCATATAATATATTTAGCTTTATTAGTTGATACGAAACTTGAATACACGGCATGAACTATTTTTCATCAAAATATTGATAAAAACAAAATACCATTTTTGTTACAAAAGAAAGGCGGCGTTCAACAGCACTTGACATTTTGATAAACAGCAGTCTTGCACAAATTGTGAAAATACTGAAATGAAAACCGCAAATGCCCAAACAAAATACTTTAGCGTAAGTCAAAGAAAAGGTCTCCTTTTTGTCCATCACGTAATGCCATATTTTCTTTAATTACATGTACAAAATCAGCTTAAAGACTAAAAACGTAACAATTCTTGTGAGTATTCTTCTTGTGGATGCCAAACAGTGGAATTAAAAATACCGACTGAAATCCATGGGCATCTTCGAGGATTAAACTTAAAATTCTTCAACTTGCCCTGTATTTAACAACATATAAAAACATTTGAACACATTCTTAAGTGTGATTTTAATGTTAATTTGTGTCAGGGCATTCACAATTTTCTCCACTTTGCCAACTTGCAAGTTCTCACCGAAATTTTGGTCCCATAAACCTTACCCACTTACCAACAAAATTAGCAGCATAGAAATATTTTAAGCAGTTTCTAAAAATTAATTAAAGGGAATGTACATCATTGGCTTTTGCTGTAATTTTCAGAAGTGAACTATTTGAGGAGTTAGTATAATGGATTAAATATTGTTACACTAATATGTTTAAAGTTTTGGGTTCGAAAATGCTGGAAAAACCAACAAAAACAAAAATGTTCAAATAGTCTGGTTCCCTGACTCCACTAAAGATGAAATGGATCAATTCATAGATGCTGGAAAATTGTAAGGTAAGGGAACCAGTCTACTGAGCTGGCCTGCACCCGTTCATGAACATGTGACCAATAGCAAACAAAATTTGGACTGAAAAAATGGTAAATTTGCAGCAGTAGTTGAAAAATAGTAAGGTTTTTCCAACGGTGGTCGGCTGACCACCGTTGGAAATGTATACAAAAATACCACTTTTCTTGAAAATGACTTCACTCCAGGTGCCATAATTTTACAGGATGCCTTAGACCGTCATTTACCAACATCCAAGTAAGGTATTTCGTAAAAAAAAAATTGGTAGTTTTGTTTTTCGATGTTTGCAAAGGTTGTATATTCCCTTTAATGGCAGTCATTTTTACAACTTTATTGTGAGTTTTAGTAGTCACACCATAGACCAGAACAATTGTACAATTATTATGCATGCAAATCACCCTCTTAAATCACTTTGTACATACAACCGGGTTTGGGGGGCAATTTTACGAGGAGCTGAACAGTCATTTTCCCAGCTCATGATTTTCAGGGACTCATTTCCACGAATTGCCCTTGCCCTTGCCATTGAACCTACCCTGCACCTTGGGGTTGTAATTCTGTCTGTCGGAGGGGGTCATCTTGTCGACTTCAGACGTATGCACTATGTTAAACTGACCGCTTTCATCCACGGCTTCGACGTCTGAGAAGTAGGTCGTTGTCAAATTTCCCTTTGAATCAGCCGTGAGATAATACCCTATCAAAAAAAAAAAAACAGTTAACGACACTCTTTAATTAGTATCAACTATGTAGAAAGCTTTACAGAAGGTATTTTTATTCAATTCCTCCAAAAGAAAGTAGCAAAACATTTTTTTTTTGGTTCAAATCAATCTTATTGTGTGTGGTGTCCCTAAGCAAACCATTTTACCCCATTCATTCCTCCTGCTATTTAAACAGTCACAGACAGTCGAAATTCACTTCCACTTCCCTTGCTATACTTTTAACGAAGGCCAGTCACCAGCAGTCAGATCATGATGTCAAGCAAGCACTGTGACTAGTCAAACTGGGTCAACAGGCAAAGCAGGCAAGTTGTGATCACAGGCACAGCTGTTTTATCACTCACCCGCAGTCAAAGCATAGCTGTACAGGTACATGTATTTAAACAGTCCCAGCCTGTAGATCCTGCTTTATGTCGGCTGGGAATTCTTCACTGTTTGACTGAAAGAACTACATGGCACAGAATGTTTGCAATTGAGGGTTAATTGCTCCACCTAGCAGTGCAAATCAGTACCAGTATTAGTCTTGAAGTTACTTGCGATGGACTAGAATCTCATCGGGGGGGAGGGGGGGATAGAGATATTCCTATTTTGTTCAAATACCAAGGAAATAGGCGGTAAAACGCTGAACTGATTAGCCATGTTGATTTGACACAGACTTGAGTTACTGCCAAGCCAAAGTTTAGTAAATTTTTTGTTAAACTCACTTCTTTTAGATGCAAGCTCGAACGTTAACCTGTTAGTGTTGTCCTGCCTCACAGTGAGAAAGATTCTGTCGTCATTCAGAATGAAGAGACTTTCTCTCAACTCAGCGCTGTTTACACCCTAAAAAAAAAATAAACATGTCTGATTTCTTGACACTGCGGAATCTACATAGCCCTTTATTTGATAACTACAATCCTGGCCAAATCTCGCTGGGCCCCAACCCCCCGGCCCCCGCTCAGTGTTGTCTCTCATGACGCGGTGTGTGCTCCATCAGCTGGAGAGAACAACATTGACCAGGGGAGCAGGGGAGTGGGTGACCGTGGAAGGCTCAGGAAGTATCCCAACTATTTTGGCCGGGATTGTAACTTGGTGGTTTACGAAACTCAGGTTTGCTTTTTCGGGTTTTGGCTTTGTCTTCAACCCAAGATTCATAAGAATCCTGCTGACTCCCCAACTGAGTGACTGGTTGACTGAGTCACTGACAAAACAATTTATCCACCAGCCAACCGATCGACCGACCGACCAACTGACTGACCGATCGAGTCACTGACCGATCGAGTCACTGACCGATCGAGTCACTGACCGATCGAGTCACTGACCACTCACTGATCGAGTCACTGACCGATCGAGTCACTGATCGAGTCACTGACCGAGTCACTGACCGAGTCACTGACCGAGTCACTGACCGAGTCACTGACCGAGTCACTGACCGAGTCACTGACCGAGTCACTGACCGAGTCACTGACCGAGTCACTGACCGAGTCACTGACCGAGTCACTGACCGAGTCACTGACCGAGTCACTGACACAACTAGTTCTGAATATTATTTCTTGTTATCTTCGTATAAGCCACTCAATATTTCATTGTTTTCTTTTCGTGACGCAGGCGTCATTCAGAGTACAATTATACATTTTGCTGCAACTGACTTACAATTCTTGAGGGCTCCCCATGATCCAACGGTGAGTCATTATTCAAGTTGATGATAGCCCTTGGTCCAAAATCGAAAGGCATGTAATAGAAAAACTTGAAGCGACCTATGACCAAAAGGAAAACAAAATCAAAAAGAAGAAGTGTAATTATGTTTGTTTTCTAAATAAAAAATAATGTAATTTAATGTGTTCTTAAACGGGGGGACTGGGAAAGATAATTGTTGTACATAAAACTATCCCTTTGACGAAAATGTTATAGTTTAATTGTTTGAAAACTATGAACCATTGAGGAAAAATTGGGATTTGTCTCAGGCGTGAACTTACAAGGTGTGAGGTCGTTCGCTGTCGACATGCAGAAACACTTGTTCTTTAACGTCAGGTACTTGGTGCTCTGGCCTCTGTTATTCTGGAAGATGTAGCTAGGTTCCGATTCGCCATTCCAATACCACTGGCTGTAGCGTACCTTGACATCTACATCCACCATCACCTGATCTCCTTCAGATAGAGAGAGAAAACAAGAGAATAGTAGAATGAATGACCTCGAGAGACACCAACGGAGAATCGGACGTCGGCCAGTCCTGCCAAGTCTTCCTGAAAATTTCTGTCCAACTCGACTCAAGTCACATTTACTTTGGGAACAGTCGATCAAATCCTCCTTATCTGCTTTGCACAATGAAACAAAATCAACTCTTACGGTCAGGAATGTTGGATCTCGCTTGCAGGGATGAAGTGCATCCCATGTTTTCTCACTTTTTTGAAGGTTTTAAAAAAAAAATGTTATTGCTTTCCTCGAAGCAGATGGTGAGTGGACCAGTTGGTACCAAGTTGTACCCATTTGCTTTGGTTACCGACTTTGATAAGTTTCTCGTCGGTAAACATACTGGCCTGGGCATGATTTGTTATCGCGCCCCTTCCCTCGCGCTGGGTATTGTTTAAGTCTTAGGAATGTGGCGTGATTGGGGTCAGGGGTCACCATGAGGTGATATATGCACGACCCAAATGCGTGACAGCTTGAGGAGAGATTATCGTAAGTGGAAAATAAGCTGGTGTACCTTCGAGTGAAATCTTGATTGATATCGTTACTTTACGGCAAACAAAGTTGCCACTTTCGTCCTCTTCTTGGCGTTCGATGACCTGTTGGCGGAATAACAAAAGGACGAAGGAAGTGAGTCATAATGAATTTGCCATGGAAGAGATTCTTCATAAAAATGTTATGCAAACGATCCAGTAAGATAAGGCAGTAGAATATGTTTTTGTGTTAGTAGTAAGAATGCCTTTGGATGTGTGTGTGTTTATTTTATATATAGTTTTTATGGGTGGGGTTGGGTTTGCGTGGAGTGGGTAGGGTCAGGTTGGTTGGTTGGGGTGAGTTTGTTTCTGTATTCAATAGGGGACATGGGTCTCCAATTCCTGAAGGCCCCCAATTTGGATTCGTGTACAAAACATATGGGAGGTCTTCCTCAAAAGTTAAGAGTACAAACAAAAGAGGGACATTAGGGTGTCCTTGATTTCAGGCAAATACACACTTGTATGGGTGGACGAGGTTGGGTTGGGGTTGGTTCGATTGGGCTGGGGATGGGTTGGGTCTACTTTTAACAGTTAATTGAGAAATTATTTGGAAAGTTTTCAGCTTGTAGGTGTCGGGATAGTTTGGTCTTCAGCTACGTACAATTTTGAAGTCCACTTCTTCCAAAGAGCCAAAAAATTGCTGGAGCTCCTCAAATTCCCAGCTTGTGACATCATTCCCATTGACGCTGACAATGACATCGTTTTCCCTATGTAAAAAGAAAAAGACAAAAAATATAAAAGGGAAAATATTTCATGAGGATAGTTGAAATGTATAAAGCTACTTCTGTACAACCATGAAGCAGAATTTCCTTCTTACTGTTTTTGTTTATTTAACTTGTTCTTTTGTTTTTTGCTTTTTATATCCTCGTCCAGGTGTTTCCTCTTCATTTGGCCTAGGGTGAGAACAATGACAGTTTCATAGAAACAATTGTTTCCATTTTGCTTTATTGGAAACATTGTTAGTTTCATTTCACCAACTTGAGCGCCAGTAATGAAATGATGTATTATTCATCAATTAATTGACCCATTCTATCAATCTTTGAATTTGACTGACAAAATGTCTGATACATTGATCAGTTAATTACTTAATCAATCAATCAATCAAGTCATTCATCTGAATGATTCAGTTGATTGACTGATGAATTCTTCGCCCAGCCAACAGACTGCCCAACTACTGCTGACCAACCAATTTACTGATTAATAATCTTGATCAATTAATTTGCTTCATTCAAATGATAGAACAATTGATTGATTTATAGATATAATCAGTTAATTTGTTCCCTCCTATGCAAACATACATTCCATGCAAAGTTGCCCTTTCAGTCGATCGAAATCAGTCAAGTGACTGTTTTCAACTGTTAAGAGCTCCCAGCCTACATATAAAGCAGGATTGACTGGCTGTGACTGTTTATGTAACTTGGTACAGCTATGCTTTGACTTCCGGTGAGTGATAAAACAGCTGCGACCACAACTTGCCTGCTTTGTCTGTTGACTCAATTTGACTAGTCACAGTGCTTAATTGCTGGAAAAATGATCTGACTGTTGGTGATTAGCCTGTGTAAAAGGCAAGGCAGGGTAAGAGGATAATCGTTTTGACTGTCTGTGACTGTTCAGACAGCAGGAGGGTTGACAATGTCATATCAGTTAATCGGTAATTGAATTATTGATTTATTGATTATTTCATCCATTCCTCAGCCTGAATGTACTAACAAATCGATTCAATGCAGCTTATACTAGAAGTGATCATGTCAAAACAAGCCAAATTGTGTTTAATTGTGAACGTTTCGATTTGTAAAACATATCTGAATCGGGAAAAAAATAATGTAATTACTGGAGTTTCGATTTTGCCGCCAAGCCGTCTGGAATGACGGTACGGACCACGTGACCCTTCGCGTCCTTCTGAATATGTATGCCGAGTCCCACCATTCCACCAATCAGCTTGTCGGGATGCGGCACGTGGACGTTGTTGCCTGGATGCTGCTCCAGAGAACTCTGCATGTAGAATTAAAAAAAAAAATAGTCAGATTTGACTATAACAGAACAGTCGCACTTCACAACGACCATATTTGGGCCTTCGTATCGCCTCTTGTATTGACTTTAAAATAACGATATTTCCCCCGTCATTTCCGCTTTCGCGTGAAGCGATGATTATATACCCGGTATAGTAGCTTTCGTTTCATGTGCTTTGTGGCACACTCTTTGACTTTTTTTGGACTTTTTACTGCCCATTTTATTTGCTTGTTGAACCGCTACATTTCCTGTACTCGCGAAAGGTTCTTTTTTTTTTCTCATTCAAACACAGAATGCGTTTGGCATGAAGGAGCATGGAAAAGGAAGCTACGCTCAGAAATTGAAATGAAAGTTAAAAACTGTTGCTTACGAAATGCTCACGCATGGGTATTGTGCTGTCATGTGTCTGTAATATGCAGTCTTCGCGTCCGGCTGCTCTCCCTTCCAATTTCTGGCGATTTAATGCCCCGCCCATAAACAGTCATACCAAAATGTGTCCTTATGAGTTCAATTGTTTTTTCCATTTAAAAAAAACCTCAAATCTCCAGTATTATAAAAATCCACTTCCTGTAGAACTTCCTTGTGACTTGACTTGTGATAGACTAAGTCTTGTGATTTGACTTGTGACGGACCTGTGATTTGAATTGCGATAGAGAATTGTGGTTTGACTTGTGATGGACTTGTGATTTGACTTGTGAAGTATTTGTGATTTGACTTGTCGATCGTCAATATCTTTACGACTTTCAGTTTCCAGGACACAACAAAGAATAAATTCCAGGACGTCTCTAGTTTGAAATTTAATAGCCTCCCTTCCTTCCAACAAATTATGAACTGAAATAAATACGGAAACCTACCTCAGGGAGAAGGAACTTTTCAATCAAGATCTCGACACCGTGCTGAAGTTCCCGGGCGCCTTGCTGCAGTTCCCGGGCGCCTTGTTTCACCCCTTCTACCACGGCATGGCCGACGATCTTGGCCCGTCTCTCGACTTTGTGTACAGTCTTTGTGATGATGTTGCCAGGAAGGGATTCCTCCTCCGTGATAGTGCTCGAGGAGATTGTTTCTTCCACTCCGATGTCTTTGTTCAAGGCTTCTCCTTCTTGAGCCGCTCCCCGTTCCCGATGGCCCGAAGGTTCGAATCTGTGGATGAGGTCTTTCACGCGGTGCTTTGCCTCTTCCATCAGATCCAGCCCCGCGCCCATCGGCGCGGCGGCCTCGCTAAGCGGCGCGGGGCTCACGCGCCCCTCGTCCCCATGATTTGACCCGTCCACCCCGCTGCCGATCAGATGTTCCTGGGCCATCTCTTGATTCATTTTATTTTTGGTTAACTAAGTTATACTCAACTTCAGAGCAATCCACTCAAGGCGATGGTGTTTCGGAACTCAGTGAAAACCGAAACGCTCTGTTCGACTCGAGTGCTGAAAAACGAAATTCTGGTTTTGTGGATCTTTACAGTAGCTCAGTTTCACAGCTTTTGAGTGGACTTTGAAGACCGGCGCCTGCTTTATAGGATTCAGTTGCAATGAGGAACCCGGAAACGTTACCCAGCGACACCCCGACTGTCAAGGACAGGGTTCATATTATACACACAATTAACATTGAACCCGTTGTTTTCACACCCAATCAAACAGGCTTTCTAAATTTAGCTTAACCAATGACGTAATGGATACAAACGGGGTTTTCCCCTCACCGTGACTGATCGATATAGTGTCTTGCGCAATGTGTTTCTCCAGCGTGAGAGAGCTTGTCTTTCGTTCACAACAAAAATTGTTGAAATTTTCTAAAATGGCCGTGTAAAATCCTTTTCCTTTCTGGTAAGGAAAAGAAACTGAATTTTAAGTCAATAGAAGAGAATTTTTTTGCGTATATCACTTTGGAGCAAAAGTTCTGGGTTGCGAACTTTATAGGCGAACTTTAAGTGACATTGGGTCGTATGTATAAAAACTAGTAAATGTTAGGAAGTTTAAGCAAAAAGTAAAAGCATTTACTTTGGAGTACAAGCATTAAGGAAAAGCAAATGCTTGATTTCGTATGAATAATAGGTTTCCTTTACTGTTCAGCATTTAAAGGGAATATACAACATTTGCAAACATCGAAAAATAAAACTACCAAGTTTTACCTTACTAATACTAGGATGTTGGTAAATGACGTCTAACGCATCCTGTAAAATTATGGCACCTGGTGAGAAGTCATTTTCAAGAAAATGGAATTTTTGTATACATTTCCAACGGTGGTCGGCCGACCACCGTTGGAAAAACCTAACTATATTTCAACTACTGCTCCAAATTTACCCCTTTTTCAGTCCAAATTTTGTTTGGTATTGGTTACATGTTCATGAACGGATGCAGGCCAGCTAGACTTGTTCCCTTACCTTACAATTTTCTGGCAACTATAAATTGATCCATTTCATCTGTAGTGGAGTCAGGGAACCAGACTACTTGAACAATTTTGTTTTTCGTGGTTTTTCCAACATTTTCGAACACAAAACTTCAAACATGTCAGTGTAACAATATTTGATAAATAAAATACTAACCCCTCAAATACTCCATTTCTGAAAATTACAGCAAAAGCCAATGATGTACATTCACTTTAATAGACAACAGGTAGCAAATGCTTCTTACTGTTGGATTGTTTTCATGGACGAATGATTGCCAACAATAGGATTTGTTTTGTGTGTACGAACTGCCGCACACACACGCAGGGTTCAAATCAAGGTGATGCATACAGAACATGTAGAAGTACATGCACGATCCTCAGTCCAGCAAAAATGTTGACACTTTTCGGCAGTTGCAGAATACAAAAAGTATACTTTCATCATTCATGAACATTGTAAAGGTCCAAAGTGTCTTGTAGACGTCACAATTGCATAAAAATCACAGCCGTGTTAAATTGGGTAAAATCATAAACTACAATCAGAACTACATTTGATACACAAAGAGTTTTGTTTATTGAAATATTAAAAAAACAATAGTTTGCAAAGATTGGTGACCTAATAAACTAAACAAATGATTTCATTTTGTTCAGTCCCCAGGGTGCCGTTGGATAAAATTTATCCTTAATCATTCTATGCCGCACTGAATTTTATGCTAACACTTCTCATATCGTGAACAAAATGCGAAATTATATCGTTTCTAATTCTAGTAAAAATACATAATAGAAAAGTATTTAAATTGCGCATAAATGTTAGTCAAAATACAGGGTATGGTATTATATGTAGTTTATTAACGTTTTGCGTCAATTTCGGGGCGATTAGTATTAATAAATGCAGCAGTTTTTGCGCAGAAGTATTTGCTTTATATTTTCAAGGTTGCCCCAACCCAGCCTTGAAAAATGACCAGTAAATGCTTGAAATCTGAAGCATATACTCAGACCTTTTTATTCATACGAAATGAAGTAAACACTTCTAGTCTAGCGAAAGCTAGCAAGTAAAAAGTAAATACTTTTAGCTTTCAGCAAATGCTTTACAGTAAAAGCATTTGCTTCATTTTTATTCATACAAATACAAGTAAATGCTTAAAAATGGGTAGTAAAAGCAAATGCTAGTTTTTATGCATACGACCCAATGATTCATTGTCTCAAGTTTTACAACGACGTCGGTGAGGAAATATGGCAAAAAGAAAACAAAGAACATTTTAAAATCTGAAAAAAAAAGGATTTATGTTTTGCAAGAAACAATTTTGATCATCATTCGGGGAAGAAGAACAAACCAATTCTTGAAGGTGTTTTAGAAAGTGCGCTCGCTGGCACAGCTTTTTGCCCGCGTTAGCAAAGGAATCTAGTTACGAGCACCCAAACAATTAGGCATACTTTTTTTCCGTTTTTCTTTTAGGGTGGTAACTAAAAGTATCGCCTCACCTCCAAAAAAAATTAACAGAAAATGGAAGATGGTTGATCAAGCTTTAATTTCGTGTGTGTCTTGAAGAGATTATAGCCAAAGTTGTGAATATCTCTTCTTGAATTTGGAAAGTAGGGGGAGGGGCAAGAGCGGATGGGGGGGGCAAAGAGGGCCATGCCCCCCCCCCCCCCCCCCAAAAAAAAATTGACGTCGCAATAAAGGCAGTCAATGAGAACACCACCATCTTTTCCTAAAAAAAACATTAGTTAAAGTGGTCAGAAAGTGCCTCAGATCGCACCACAGAGCATCTGGAATCCAAAAAAAATTCGGGGCCCTTAAGCGGGCCCCGAACCCCACGCCGTAATTTTTAGGGCCCACATTTTTTGGGGATCAATTTTTTTTTGGCCCCCAAAAATTGTGTTCTGGATCTGCCCTTGGGAGGGGGGAGTTTTTCGTTGATGATTACCATGGTAATTCATTTAGCAGGATGTAACTAGGGTTATGCCTGGGTGTTTTTTTTTTTTTGGGGGGGGGGGACATTCTTTTGAAATAACGGCGAATTTGCCACTCGTAAGATTTTACGACATGTAGTGCAAACAAAGTTGTATGTTCACGCCAACACTGAATTCATATAGATAAAATTTGCCTATAGTGTAGCAAATGTGTCACCCTCCTCAGTACGACTGTTAGGAAGTAAATCCGGGGTGTGTACAAAAACATTTGTTTGGGTAAATAAGGAAGAGAAAAGTGTATTGAGGCTTGCATGAATCATTTTATCCAGTACTATATAGGATATTTTTCCCCATTTTTTTTTGACACGCCCAATCTTTCGCAAGAACATGAAGTCTGTGACCATATTAGGCAAGGATCTGTGGATTTTACTTTTGGATAATTCAGGCTTATCTTTGACTTTTTCAATGCACTTTTGGGTACGCCCACAATAATTTCAGAATGACGAGAAGTTTGTGAAGGCAACATGAGAACTGTGAATTGACGATTGGATATTCGGGGCTGTGGCTTCGGGCCACGTCCGATTTACTTAAGGCTGCGGCTTAAAATCACACACGTGTCTACGGTAGTGGCTGCAGCCACTTCCATAGACCCGTGCGTAATTCAAAGCCATAGTCATGTAATTCGGATGCGGCCTTTGGCGCAAAACATAGTCTTGCACACGATCACGCGCATGATGCATGCGATATGCACCTGTTATTAATTTGACGCGCGCGTAAAATTTGAGAAGCCTATTGGTCGAAGGAGCACCGATATTTACCCCCCCCCCCCCGTCAATATTTTATAGAGAGTGGCCTTTGTTTTACCAGTGCCTTTTTTTACTGCGACTTTTTACCGATGCCCTTTTTGGAATTTCGCGCTAATGTCGGCAATTATACCGCCCTGAAAAGCGCCATCTATTGTCCAACAGTGTTCACGATTGTCCGATTTGAACAGCAACCCCCCCCCCCCCCCCCCATCCATCCAATTTTGAATTTTACGGAAGCCAAGTGACATGTGAGAAACTGTCTACCTTTCAGCACGGATTGGCGAGTACCCTTTTCACAGTGACGTCTGCCGCCCCCCCCCCCCCCCCCCCCTCCCATTCAATATGACCTCGCTACGCCACTGGAATCTGATGACTAATTTGGGGATTTTTTATCCGGCACGAATCTTTTGTAAGGGCTCTTTTACACAACGTATGTTTAAAAAGAAAGTGTTTTCATAACTTTGAAAGCATATTTTCCTTGTTTTGTTTGGTTGCTATAGTAAGGCATATGGGTCGGGTGAAATAGTTTGTTGGCAAAATGACTGTTCAGGGTAATTCTATAGACATTGCACAACATTTGTTATTTTTTTTTGAGGGGGGTGATGCATAAAGTTTTGCTTTGTACATTGTTGTCATCAACTTTGAATGAAATTCTGCAGTGTCATGCCCCAAAAAGAACATTTTAGGGGTAATAATTCACAAAAGGGACTTTTCTGATGAAAAAATACTCACTTTTTTTTAATAGATAAACGACAGAGGCAGAATTGCAGGGATACTAGACCACCTGAAATTGTCTTGGAAAGATTCCCATATCTGGTCATCACTTGTCACCCTGTGCACAAACCCTATGAGACTGGTCTGAACAATTCTAAGTGTTTTCTCAGTAAATACTTCAATATTTCCCCTGTTTCTTTTGTCTTTTAGAACATATTTTAACTTTCTGGTGGCTGATTGGTGTCTGAAGGGAAAAATTAGTGATGGCTAGATGGAATCTTTCCGTTGCCTTATTTCAGGTGTTTTTTTTCTTGAAATTGTTAATTACACATTGCCACCGTACGTGTGAGTGTGTGCTTTTCCTTTATGCCTCAAATTTCAGAGACATAATCAGTCTCATCCCTGGAATTGCAGTTCGCCGTTTCCGAGTTGTTTCAAACGATTGAAACAACCGTATACAACCCCACCGGGGTATGCTATTCCTGCGTTTGCAGTTCTCGACTTTCTTAAAGTAATAAGTATGTTCTGGTGTCAGATTTCGAGCAGTTTGAGTAAAAAATCAAATTTTGGCAAAATTTGATGACAAATTTAAGGTTAACCACTTGCATTTGTTTTCAATTTTGGCCTAAAAAATGAAATTGCTTGAAGCTTGCTGGGAAGATGCCTAAAGGACCTTAGAACGCATTCCAACTGGACTTCAGTAAAAAAATGCGAAACAAAAATTTTGTCTAAAAATTTTATGAATTTGGCCCAAATCTTCCA